GAGCGGTGGCTTTAAAAAAATCGCGTTGAGAAATATACTCGCAAGCGATTAAGATGGTGGGTGGATCACAAGTGACGTTGTTGATGACGTTATCGGCCGCATGTTTCGGAACGGCACTGACAAGAAGCAAGTGACCGGCGTCACGACTGACCGCGCGTGTATGCGTTTCGTTCTTGATTTTGCTTTTCATGAATAAGACATTCCGCAAATAGCTCGTCGTCGTCGTGCTGCTGTCGTCGTGAGTCAGTCGGTGGAAACAAGATAAAATGACAATCGTGAATGAAAATAGTAATTGGTTTCTCTCTCGCGACACTCAGATACTATAAAAATAGTATCAAACAACTCTGACGTCCTTGCTCCGGTTTAGCAGAAAAATAAGGTGTCGAAAAGATCTTGAAAAAGTGTATCAATCGCGAGCAAACGTGACATTTGGTTTTTGTAAGCAGTAGAAAAATTCTAGAAAATATTATCAGTAAAAAAAATTGCGATACTGCTTTCACAATAATCGATTAATAATAAGGACGATCGAGCCAATGCATATACATAGCCAGATGCATAAGCAATCAAATCGCTCTTAATTAATTTCCTTCTGCTTGAATTAACTTAGGCTTGATACGATATCTAAAATTACAATTTTACTATAATCTTGAATTCACACAAGCATGAAATATAAAAAAAAAAAAATTGTTGTTATCTGACATAAGAGACAAATGACACGAAAATAATGATGCCGAAACCTTTGTGCACGTCTGACCCACGATAATCTCGATATCTTATTACTCGGTCTGTGCATCGGAGTAGAAGCCATAAGAATGTGAGTGATATGCAAAAGAATGTAAACACTATGTGAAACCCTGAACTTTTTCTGCTCTTTCGAAGTTCTTTGTACTATTTCAAACGTCTAGACACATTTTGCGTTATCAAAACAAAACTATTACAACAACAAAACATTATAATATTTTGGAGAAACAAGTTCTTCCGATAGATAACGAACTCGGGATCGTGTAGAGAGATTGCCGAAAACTTGCTTGTAAGAGGTTTTCTTTACGTGAAAAATCCCGACTCTAGGTTCTGCTCTGTAACATGATATATTACGTATTAACACTATTTGTATTGTATAATTACGCAACGTAAATTACTGTCGACTTAGCTGCTAACAGAAAATTCAATTTTTTTAAAGACGAAAAAACTGCATATTTTAAAAAAATTTTGAATTGGTCAATATTTATTCACAGCTATTTTATTTGAGAACTAAATGATCTGCTCATCAGATGATATCGACGGCTGGATAATGGCAATTTATTCAGCAACGCATAAACCTTACTTGTGCGATATGTAATTCATGATTCAAGTGCAAACACCAGCTGTGTTAGTGCGATCATATTTAAACAGCAAGAAGAGCTGCCGATAATAAAAAATGACAAGAGGATAGCGAAGAGAGAAGAGAAAAGACATTCCTCAGCCGGTTTTACCTTTTCTCACACATGTCATACGAAATGAGCGTGTAAATCGAGTCTGGAAAGAAAACGGAAGAAGCGCGCGCGCGCGCGCACAGTCGCGACGAAGGTTTTAAATACTTTCATTTAAAAAAACGTTCAATCATTGTGTGCATCCTGATCACACACGCTACATTAAGTATACTTGCTTCGAGTAACTGGTAACAAACCAACCGTCGTCGTCTCTACGACGGACATTTTCACAATGCTCTAACATCCAGATTCGCAGATTCGGATTGCAATTAAACTTTGTTCGGTAAGATTCCGTGATCGATGAGAGCGAAAGAGAGAAAGAGAGAGGATATTATATCAGTTATCACTACTGCTTCGAACCAGAAACTTGAGGGGGGCGATAAGACCGAAGAGAATCCGACCTCAGTGGCGCCGATAGAAAAAAAAAAAAAAAAAAAAAGAAAAAGTAGAAGTTAAAGAAACTCGTCACACACAGGACACGGAATAGCCTGATTCTACTACTGTCGTAGTCGTTTAATGTCTGTGAGAAACGTCGCGCGTTTATACACGAGCACTCGTTTCTCTCACGTGTTCGTCGCATGGATATCTGACTACGTTCAGCTCGCGTGATGCGGTTCATTGTGAGGAGCATTTTTACAGATAATTCCATTGAAGTGTTACAATTTTATGTAAGTCGATAAATTTCCTCTCGCGACTTCTGCTCGTGTCGAAAATAGATAAATGAAATTGTAATTTAAAAATATATATATTTTTCTAGCATCAAATTGAGACAAACTTCTTTTGTTAAATATCAGATAATAATTTAATATAAATATAAATATAATATATATATATACACATAATATTAACAATGCCTATTGCGTATTAAAGTTACACTTGGCTCTTATTTGATTTAACTGCGACCTGTTTTTTACGCCTATCTGATATCTGATGAAACGCCAGTCAAGAATCACGTGGCGCTTTAAGTTCAAGAGATGCATGAGAATTGATAGACAAAATCGGAAGAGCGATAAGATATCTTTTACTATGACATTTCTAAACATTGGTTTTTTTTTTATCACTTCTGCACTGATAATGCGTTGCAGAGTCATATTAAAGAGTCATTAATATTTTAGTGTGAGAAACAAAGTTAATACAATTAGAAAAAAAAAAGAAACTTTTGAACGAAATCTTTATTTGAGATTATTTATTTTACATTATTCAAACTGCTTTTCGCTCAATTTTCCGATTGATACTCTAAAACAGATCGAGAAAATCCGATAGTCGGATTTTATCTGGAAGTGGGTGCACCGGACGCGCATTAATGTGTGCAGAGAAATGTTACACGTGCGTGAAAAATTTGAATGGAAATACGCCGGTGGGGCTCGCAACACGTGGGCGTGCACAATTGACTGGAAAGCATGCAGGGCTTTTAATGGAGATACGAAAGCACGCGGTCACACACCGCACACGTCGTCGTCGTCGCCACGAATGTGTGTCCAGGAAGCTACCAAACCGGTTTCAAGAGAATATTTAGATATCGTATGTTCGACGCGTGTCCACGCAGAAGAAACGTGTCCGTCGAGAAAAACGCTCGATGCGTGTAAAGAAATTTCAATTGGTTTATTTTTATTTTTTTAAGGAAACGAAATATTCATGTGAATTAAACTTCCTCAAATTCGGTCGATAAGATTAAAAAAAAAAAAACTTTTTCCTGTTCTCAGATTTTTTATCTAAATTACAAAAAAGAAAGAGATTACTCGACATCGAGAAAAACTATTGAAAATTCAATTAATAAAATTAAACATTTTTTATTTGTTAACGCAAGAAGAGCAATATGCTCTGAAAGTAAATATGCGCGTAATTTGTTGCAAATTGAACACTGTGAATTGATCTTTCAACCTCCAGCTTGCGCTTTTGCGCATCGTCACAACGAGATTTCTAAGAGAGTGTCTAATTACGCACGTAAGTAACGCTAACGCGTAACGACACCTTTCGTAATGACGACTAAAAATAAACTTGACCGAGAGAAAGAGAGAAAGAGAGAGAGAGAGAAACGGGGAGATGAGTTAATGATACGATATAACGAAATATCTATCTTCGAGCTTTGTGTTTGTAAACAGCAAATTCCTTTTCAAATGGATAATATAATCCATAGCAAATATGTGCGCGTACAACATAAGTTACCGCGGCAAATGATTACGAATTCACTTGCTTGAATGTGTAAATAATTGGAACAGTTTGTTGTGTGGAATTTACACATTATCTATTGTTCTAATTACTTGTTTTCGTTTGAAACCTCACACGCCGGATATTTATAAAATCACGTGACGCGTCAATTAGTTAGACAAGCTTAAACTACTTGTTCGAAGTGCAATTACATCGTATTTTCTACAACGGAAATATCGTGTTCTCGATAAGAAGACAACTAAATCCATTGTGGACGTCACAAAGAGATTTGTTGTCAGCATTTTCCGCTGCTGGAAATACTCGCGGCTCGCACAAGGCCGGAACTTGATCTGAATTTTGCGAGTGCGTAAAGAGAGAGAGAGAGAGAGAGAGAGAAGAGCAAGTCTAGAGCTAAATGCGTGGCGTCGGAAGATTTGCTGCGCAAACAGAGATTAGTTTTTCGCTTTGGATTTGAAGATACATTATCTTTGATGAGTCGCGCTTTCGCGTTCCGGAGCAAAGCGCGACCGCAAATCGTTCCAGACTCGTAAGAGAACCGTCCAGACGGTTCGGTGCAGACGCGCGGACGCCGCGCAGTTTGTAATAATGCGTCTGCATAAAATATGATCGTAACTACTACGCTACAAAGTTGCGACGCCTATTCGAAACTAGTATGGAAGTATTGGATTTCAGCGAGACCAGGTTTCTCGTCTCAAGAGTAGTGCTTCTCGCCAAGCGCGGCGAGGCCGACCGTGACTCATTTACGAGTTGAACAATTGGACAGTCGAACTGGTGAAATTTTTTCTAGTCTCAATCAAAAACTTTTATTATAAGAAACTTCTTCTATGAACGGACATATAACAATGTTGAAATTTAGGTATTAAATTTTTGACATCAATTTAATACAGTTGGAATTGCAAATAACAAAGTAGTATAAGGGAGAGAAAAGTTGGCGCCGCAGGATTTTCTAAACACAACTGTGGTAGCGCAATTGAAGTTTCGAATTGTAAGAAGTCTAGCAGCGCCAAGTTTTGCACATGACAAATTTTTTATTAAATAAAATCTTTTTCTTTTGTACCATTTTGCTTATTTGCAATGTATTGTTTTCACTAATGTAATAAGATTTAATATATATATAAAAGATTTAAAATCATTTTATATGTATTTGAAAGGTTCTTGTACTTTTTTTCTGGATCTAACGGATATCAGAACCCTTAAAACGTATGTCATATTCAACTACGACGAACTATGCATGCGATATATAGTCTACTATGTAATAACATTGGCAAAGTGGTTGCGAGTAGTTCAAATCGGTCAATCTCGCGCGATATAACGCCGCTCGCGAAATGTCAACAGACCAATGAAGAGCAATTTGCTACTTACTGGTTTCTCACAATAAAGACTCGAGCTCTTCAAACGTGATGATATAGAAGTAGAATTGATGGTAGTCTTCACGTGTGCGTTTTGCTTCTTTATTCCACTGAGAGTTTTACTGCCTCTTTTTCTTCACGATTACAATTCTTCCTCGCGTTCGCTCCTTCTTGCTCCGGAAAACTTGAGAGATCGAGAGAGCTGTCAGTGTTGTGAGACTTTTTCTGTTTTTTAAGTGAAAATTCTCTCTTGAGTGCGAAGTCACAACACTACGTGATTTTGAGTTTTCGGTCTTACGCGCGCGGAACAGGAAGTCAAGACTGTTTCGAAGAATTCGGGGTGTGAAATCCGGTTTACGGTCTCTCCCTTACTCGTTGTTACATTAAGCGACGGCTAAGCGATGCATCACGCGCGATGTTCATCACCAACTGTGACGGGATGCGAGCAAACTGCGGGCGTCTTATCTCGTCTTCATTCGATCGAGTCGGCGTTCGCGTTTCGCGAGATCTGCAGTAATATATATAATATATCGCGGGTCTGAACCTCCGACTGTGTGCCGCGGAATCGGCGCGCGCCGTACCTACTGCTGCGTCGTCTGTCGGGCGTTTGAACGGAAAGAGATCCGCGCGCAAGCCGGCCGGCGGCGCGGCGCGCGCATCTCGCCACCTTGCGTGACGTTCACGTGATCGCGCCGACTTCGCGAATCACTACGGGCGCGGGCCACGTGCATCGTCGCCTGCAACATATCGGCCGCACGCACCGCACATCAGGCTTTTGGATCCTCTCTTCGTTCCCGTACGTAACTCGACATGGCGCCAGACGAACGGGATCTTATCTTATTGTACCGGTGCGAGACCGGATTTTTTATACGACGTGTCTATCGAGATATTCCTCCAAAGATTAAATTTTTTTTTTTTTTTTTTTTTTTACTTTTTGTTTACTCGCGTAGATTTTTTATACTATTTGTCAAACTATACGCACGATGCGCGTAATAAGTTCGCAAAACTTGCGCGACCTCGACGAGGTCGGATATGACGTACCTGGCGCCAGAGTCTGTCGTCGTCGCAGTCTGTTGCGATTCCGTGGAATTTACCGAGCGGCATATTTGGTATATTAATAGCACACTCGCGCGTTTACGATACGATTGTAGATACAATTGTCGCGCAGCAAGCAGGTGACGGTCCAAACAAATCGAAATTGATATCACGATGATTAATGTAAATCGATATACGTATTATGATATTAATTCTTTGACGATTATCTCGACTCTCGGTACATACATATATGTATAAAACATTTTTGTAAAAATAAAACACTGCGTCAGTATCCTGAAAATGGTTAATTCAGTGCTTTCGAAATAGAAAGTACGCGGTTTTAACAGCGATTATATATGCAATAATTACATTTTGTTCAAGATAATCAGTAAACAAGTTCTTTTTTTTCAACGGCGCGTGCAAGATAAATGAGCAAAAACATGTCACGGAAAAACGATTAAGATACATATGTGTTATAAAAGCGGCGCCAACGAGCGAAATATGTCGATTCATCGAGCGCGCTACGTGACACGTGCATACGCGGTCACGTTAGCATAAATTTCTGAGGCGTTTCTGCGTTCGGCGGCTGTAATTTTCCACGGCGTTCGGCAGAAATGCGCGAACAAACAAACCAAGACGACCAAAGAGAAGACGAACCGACCGCGAACGCGTGTACATATATAATTGAAACGAGACGGAGAAAGAGAGATATCGACTGTCGCGACTCAAATTTTTGCCAAGTTTTCATCCGGAGACGATACAAATCAACCGAGACACATGTTTTTATCAGCGTGCACCGAGGATATCGCTGAAAAATAACGCGATACCCTTTAAAGAGTCTAATCAGTGTGTTACATTGTGTTAGCAAAAAATTTATGCTGTTGCTCTCTCAGTATGTGTATATTAAAAAAAGACGCAAATGTTGCACGCTAAAAGCATGTGTCGCGCGCATACATGCTTTATTAATTAATTATTATGTAAATTTATCTCAATCGAATTCAGACGATGCATGGCATGGAAATGATTACATTGAATTACAATGACATAGTCGCGTACGCTGATTAACAATAGGAAGACACACAAACCGAAGTTCTGAAAAAGCATTTCCTACGATTTGTTAAAACTTTTTGTCGAAATGCGCGCGCGTATCTCTAACGAACATAATTCGAAAGAAATGAAGCGCGATAACACGTTTAAATTATATAACAGAAGTAATGGTTTTTTTTTTGCAGCAATAAAGCTTATAATAGTTAAAATTTATACGTGTGTGTGTGTTCATATAATACACATGTAAAAAATGTTTAATTTTCACATCATGTATCTTTTATCGTCGTACGTGCGGAATTGTGAAATCGAAAAAATTCCGCGAATGATGTAACATAATGAAAACGATAGCTCATAATAGACGGCTGTTAACGGACGACACTATAAGAAGAGAATATAGATACTCGCATGAAACATAATCTCGAGGATTAAGTGTTTACGTTTCACGAAGTTTCTTTTACATCTTGCGCTCTCTCGTCAGTATCAACATCTCTCCAGACTTTTTTAATCGACGTACATACACAGCAAAAAAAAATATTTCAAATGTATATATATATATATACACAATGTGACTTGGAGGAGGAAATGCAAGAATATTGAGAGATTTGGTTGATTCGGATGATTCTTCGGAAAAAAGGAAAAAACATTGCAAGCAGAAACTCACTCGAACAATTAAAGAAAGTCATTTTTTTTTTTTTTTTTTTTTTATAAGTCTCTTGTTCTCTTACAATTAGAACACAGTGGTAATACGTATGCACTTCGGTATCACTCCGACTTTTATACTGCATATCTGCCTGACACAAAAATATTGTAATATCAGCTCTGGAGCAGATGCAACGAATGCAGAAAAGTCATTGGCTAAGTTCGTTTCCTTGTGCAGTTTATACAAACAATCAGTAGTAGGTATAATATATTCGAAGTGAACACGAAACTCCCCTAAACATAAAAAAAAAAGATCACCATCACCTAGAAGAATAAACTGTTAAAACTCTAGCAGTTCGTAAATGGTGTTCGCGCTTTTTTTTCTCATTTGTCTACAGGTTGTAATTATTATGTTATTATCTGCTATCTCAATTCTTGATCTCCCGACAATTAGAGCGGAACATGGTTTTGCGTAGTAAATATTATCGTGAACAATTAAAAACGACGTTCGAATGAGATCAACGAGTATCTTCGACGGTAACGATATTTTTTTTTTTTTTTTTTTTTTTTATCTCTCTTAGAAAAATCACGCTTTGAACGGCATGTATTTTGAAGTGTAGGACTAATTTCACCTATCCAATAAATTTGTTAATAAATTATTCAATCGCGCTAACATGATAATGTCTACACGTTACTCTTGACCATGCATATATGTACAAATGTTTGACTTTTAGGTTCAAAGTTGATTGCGACACGTAACACTCTTCTCTGTCTTTTCTTCTTGAAAAGGAATCGACACTCATAAAATAGCTATATTGTCTCGATGAAAAAAAATAACTGTACAATGTATAACGTCTGAAAGATTACTATTGCTGAGTTGTAGAAGAATCTCTTATTTGTTTACGTTTACAAAATATAAAAAAGTGAGTAGATAATTGAGCTATTTACACTATGATACTTACACAGGAGACTATACGCATGGCAAGTAAAGTCCGGAATGCTTTTTGTATACAAAGGTGATTAAATAAATAAACGCGAATATATATCCGATAATTGATCACAAAAATTAACCGTAACACGTAACACGAAAGTTTTTATATAATAATAATAATCGTAAATATATTATTTCACATCAGAAAAAAAGAAAGTAGATTTACACATATACATATATATTTTATCACATTGCAGACTTTACCTATAACGTATACACGAAATAGATAAATTTAATTTATATAAGCTAGTAAAATATATATATATATATATAGTATTAGACGGAGAGTAAATTACATTATATATACACACATATATATATATGTATACATATGCATATATATATATATTTTCTTCGATGATTCAGCACTTTCAAGATCGATATCCTTCTCTCCGAGCAACATTTAAAAGAATGTGTCAATACAAATTAATTGCATCGCAGTTATATACAAGTACAATGCAAAAATTCTTTTTGATACTGACTAATTTTACGAACACACTAATCAACACACCAAATATTTGATGTAAAGAGACGCATACTTCTCTTTAGATCAATATGTACATCATAATTAGTATGTACTTCCCTACTGATTTCGGATATTGAAGACAGAAAATTTGAATGATCAAATATTTATATTTATATGAATGTTGTGAATCTATCTTGAATTAGTAAATGAATCAAGTTTCATAATCGAAAAATAGTTGAAGATAAGCGAACAAGATAGATATCGCACTCTTGTTAGAATGCCTATTTATTTTGGAACAAAAAATTATCGCAAATATTTTCATTCAAATTTCTACACAAACGCAAATATTATCAAAAGCATAATTAAGAGTTGGTTGTGTGAAATGTTTGAAAAATATTCAACGAACAGAATTCAAATTCTCTCGCATAGTTTTTCACGCGGAAAAAAATATTTCTATAAGAATCCAAGATTTTTTCTTCAGGTTTTTTTTTTCAAAGTCGCACATTCCAATTATTTAATAAAATTATATATATATATATGTATTGATATTTAAGAGATTTTTAAGTTTGAGTGTTTCAAATTATCTGCGTGTTCAACCCATTATCACGATTTAAATGCTAGAAAAAGTTTACAGTGATTATTCTCTATAGTTTTTAAGTAATACTTCGAGATATATTGCAGTTTTTTTTTTTTTTTTAAATAAAATATTCTATAGGTGCAATAGTTCTCAGTCATACTTACGCGCTGTTACCTCGCAAATATTATTCTAGTTCCAGTTAAAAAGAATCTGTGGAAGAACATACGTCAGGCGAAACGAGGTCAAATAAAGTTTACGCTTTACGTCCGCGACAGTGCGCCGCACGCTCTTGGTCTCTGACAGCAACAAAGACTACGTAACCGCGCCGCGGGACCCAGCTCTTCCGATCACCGTTCCTCGACGCCCTCGCTACCGCTGCTTTCCTGCTGGGGCCTCGCGATCTGGTATGTGATCAGGTACTCCGGATACGCCTGTTCGCCTCGATAGACAACGTATTCGGGAAATACCAAGCCGCCTTGAGATGGTCTGCCCATTACACTGTGATGGCCGGGAGGAGCATGCGCCATTTTCATTGCCGAGAATTGCAGAAACGACTTGCCAAGCGTGACTCTGCATAGCAGTAAATGTCTAAAACAGTGAGAAATATAAAAAATATATTAATAGAATTAAAGAAAAAAACAATTAATCAAATCAAGTTTTCTGATATTTCTCTTTCCTACCTGTGACAAATGTAACAACTTCTGTCTTTGTGAGCGGGACAGCCAGTACCACCGCATATACCGTAAACATATTGATTGCTTTTGCTGCTGTGTTCCGCGAAATATATGCCAGCACCGAACATTCCACCGATGTATGCGTGTCGTTCGTCAAAGCCCTTTTGAACAATGGCGTTGATAAACGGACTGCCGTGGAACAACATTCTCTCATTTGCCTGCGACACCGTTGAGCTGGGAGAACCTCTAGGTCCTGTGCTGGGAGAAGCAGGAGCTGCGGCACCGACTTCTTCGGCTACTTCTTGTCTTCTATGAGCATAACGTTCCCACAACTTGCGATTTTGAACCTTTTGTATCTACAAACAAAAAATAATTCAAAATAAATGAATTATAAACTAAACGTATCAATTTTTTACCTGCAGATATAAATTACGTACTCTAACTATGTTGTATCGAGAGAAGATACCGCCAGAATGGCCGTTATCTCTGTGTTGTCTGATAGTGCTCTGCATTTCTTCCTCAACAGCCAGAAATTCCTTGTCCTCTGCTAACAGATCCACCAATAACGTACCCGGATTTATCGAAGGTTGCCAAAGAGAACCCACTGCTGTGTTTAAAAGCTTATCCATGCCTTTGATCAGCTTGTGTCTGTAACCGTAAGCCGACACGCCGACCTGTTTCAAATCCTCGTGACCCATTTCTGCAAGAATGTCCAAAGTGATCTGCTCGCGTTCGAACAATTCGAGCAAATGTTCCAACCCAAGACTCTGCAGGAAACCAGCAACAGTAGTGATGGAACCGGTGTGGTCCTTGCACATGTCTTTGGCCTCTTTCTCTGAACATGGCTCGCTCGGGGGCATTGGACTTAAACACGACGTCGGCCGAGCTAACGGCACACACAAAGTCATAGCCGCACCGGACGGCATAATGACAGTTTCTTGAGTAAGAGGTGGTGGTGGTGTGACAGGAACTAGATAAAAATAAAGAAACAAAGTAAGAATATACTGTGATCTGACCAAAGGTTTCAAAAGCGAGAATTACAATTAATTATTCTTACCGGATACAATGCTAGGTGGTCTGCTGTTGACGGAAGCGCCACCAGCGCTGTTCACCATATTGCCGGAGGGAACCGATGGAACGATTTGCTGAGAAGCCATAGCGTCTTGCAGTAAACATCTCACATCGTCCGCACTAGCCAGATCCATCGGAGTCTGACCTTCCTGATTTTTCAAGAAGGGATCGGCACCATGAGCAAGTAGAAGAGCGCACAGCTGCGTTCGTCCTTTTTGCGCAGCTTCGTGAAGCGGCGTAAATCCCCATTTGTCAGTGGCATTAACAACCGTATTGTATTTAATGAGCAAAGCTGCGATATCCAGGTGACCGTAACTAGACGCGTTATGCAAAGGTATAAGACCACCTTTGTCTTGCGCGTTCACATCAGCCCCACGTTCCAACAGAAATTCGGCTACTTCTAGGTTATTATACCCCGCTAGAAAAAGTAAACAAAAATATACAGTAATGGTTTTTAAAAAATAACAAATTGCTGTTTGCGTAATATAAAAGCGACATACCGGCCAAGTGTAACGGAGTACTGTTACGTCCTTGCGCATCCCGGCAATTAATGTTGTCTTGCGTAACCAGTCTCTGAACCCTCGCTAAATTACCCTTCTTCGCGGCATCAAGAAGCGCGCTGTTTCCACGCAATAAATCAGCTACATCCTGATCACCGTCTCTCACAAGATCCAATGGCGTCGCACCGTCTCTGTTCTTCTTGGTGGCGTCTGCTCCATGTCTCAACAGTAACCGTACTATTTCGTACTTGCCTTTGGCAGCAGCCTCGTGAAGCGGAGTGAACTTCCATAAATCGGCGACATTCACAGACGCGCCGTGTTTCACCAATAATTCCGTGACCTCGTAATGACCGTAAGAACAAGCGTTGTGAAGGGGAACCAATCCACTGTAAAAAGAAATTTGTAACGTTACTCAAGATATTTTACGTATTCAACGTATATGGCAAAATGTATAAAACTTATATAACTATGCGAACCCTTTATCTTTGGCATGCACATCCGCGCCATGGGCTAACAGATATTCCACAACTGGCACTCTATTAAAACCCGCTGCAAAGTGCAGCGGAGTCGAGTGTCTCCCATCTAAATCGCGACAATTCACAGCGTGCGGATTAGCTTGTAAAATTCTTTCTACCGCAGCAAGATCGCCTGATTTACTCGCTTCCAACAGTTGGGCTTCCGCATCGTCGGTTCCACTAGGTGGATCTATTTTTTCAATATAAAAAAAAAAACACAAAATATAGTTTTTTTGAAGTAAATCCTCAAAAAGAAATACCTGAATTAAATCACCTACCTTGCAGTATCTTTAACACGTTTTCAGCGGCAATTTGAGCCGCAGTGTATCCTTGAAGAGATACTATTGAAGGGTCGACATTGTAGGATAAGAGTATTCTGCAAGCCTGTACGTTATCCTCTCTAACACACCTAGTAGAGAAGCAATTAATGACGATTTATGAACTAACGATGTCGCGATCGAACTATTTCAACGGCGAGAATGAAAACGAGTGATTCTCAAGAACAAAGGTACCTGTGCAGAGCGGTTTGTCCTAAACCGTCCAACGCGTTGACCTTCGCGTTATGCCGAAGCAATATGTCCATTGCGTCGTAATGCGAATGATCGGTCGCCACATGTAGCGGCGTCAGAAAGTCCTTGTTTTTTTCATTCATGGCAGCATTCTTTCGAATTAAGGCTTCGATAACTTGCTTCCTCTTTGGATAAGGCGACGCTACCGCGCAATGCATCGGTGTGTCGCCGGTATAAGGATGCTTGAAATTAACAACTTCTTGGGACAAATATTTTTTCAGTTTTGTAAGATCTGCCTGCCTGCAAGCGTCCAATAGGCAGTGACCCTTGTATTCGTCTATAAGACATATTAAACACAGTAATTGCAGACTGAAAATATAAAATAAAAATGAAAAATTAAATAAAACCGTGTAAAACTCACATGCTAATCTCTCCTGCAATTCGAGCGTTGGCGCAACGTCGATGGCGCTCTTACTATGGCAGTTCAATTGCGTCGGATCCGCGCCTTCGCTCAACAATAAGGAACAAACCTCTGCTCGAGACTTACTCGCGGCTTCGTGCAACGGAGTGAACGTCCAGAGGTCACTGGCGTTAACGGCAGCGCCGTGCTTCAGAAGTGCTTCAGTCACTTCGAAGTGGCCGTATGAGCAGGCGTTGTGAAGAGGCACAAGACCACTGTAAAAAAAAAAAGCAAATAAACAATATGTAAAAAATTCTAGAAAGAATTTTTACACAAGATGTAAACTCTGTCAAACTACAAATCCACAAGTCATGCATATTTTTTTATGTACCAACCCTTTATCCTTGGCATGCACATCTGCACCATTTTGAAGAAGAATCTGTACAACTCTGGATCTGTTATATCCAGCCGCTAAGTGCAACGGTGTAGATCTTCTTCCATCGCTAGCATGACAATTGACATTAAGAGGATTCAGTAGTTGCAATAATCGCTCCTCATTTCCAGATCTAGCAGCTTCTAGAAGCTCATCTTTCCTATACTCGCCAGTTAGCACTGGTTTAGTAGAGACATCAGCTACTTCTAATGCAGTCTTTCCTTCTGTATTCCTAATGTTTACATCTGCTCCGTGCTGTAGCAGAGTAATACATACGTCTATTTTACCCTGTCAAAGTACAAATGAAGATGAAAAAGTTAGACACCATTTCCATCTTCGGCCTTTAATATCAGCAGCGAGACAGAGTCACATTTATCATAAATAAATAAATTTTTTTTAGCTATAAAATAAACACCTTAATCGCTGCCTCGTGCAACGGCGTAAAATTCCAATTATCTCTTGTGTTAGGACTCGCTCCTGCTTCCAAGAGCAGTTTCACAACATCGCAATGTCCGAAGGAGCATGCGTTGTGTAACGGATGTAAACCGCCATCGTCACGTGCTTGAATTGATGCACCAGCGGACAGAAGAAATTCTACAACATCCTTTCTACCATATCCTACAAAAGTTTTAGATTTTTTGTAGTCATTAATATTGTTAATCCTTGTAATAAAAACTGCGGAAAATAAAAAAAATGTAATATAGTAAAATATACGTTTATACAAAAATAAAATTACATACATCATGTTTTTTTTTTTTTTTTTTTTTAAATTACTTGATTTCCATTGATACAATTTTGTAAAAACCATATTTTCGTATTTCTTTTCTCCAATATTCTTCCTTCGATGAACGTGTTCATTCTGCGAATTGTTGGGACACGTAGTCCCTTAACAACGATTACGCAGGAAGTGACTGCATATAATTACCCGCTTGACAACAAGCCGACAACTAGAACTCACGATCAGCTGAACGAGACGCACGCTTATTAACCTATCTCTTTCTCTTTCTCTCGGTTGCCAGCCCACGTGATTGGAAAAATATGAATATTTCACGAGAGAGAAGAAAAAAGAGATGCGGAGAAAACGGCACCGTCTGTGATCGGAGCGAAGAACGAAACGCAGAGAAGCTGCGACAAACAAAAGAGAGGAAGTAGAAATCTCTCTCTCTCTGTCGGAAACTCACCAGCTGCAAAGTGCAAAGGGGTGGATTTGCGTCCGGCGGTGTCGCGGGCGTTGACCGTCTTCGGGTTGACCAACGCCTTCACCTTGGCGAGATCGCCGGTCTTGCAGGCTTCGAAGAGTTCACGCAGCGGGTCACCGCCGCCCGTTCCCGGCAGCGAGTCCGCAGCATTCGTCAGCGTCGATCTGCGTCCTGCCATTTCTTCACACCGCCATTTTCACGACATCGCGCCGTTCGACAGAGATTTCGAACAGATCTCGCGAATCAGGTAGCACAGGCAGACGCATCTGACTCAGACAGAAGCAACGAGCAACAGCCGTCGTCGTTCGCAGATTTAGTACTCCGTATACCGCACACTGTACGCTACGTACGATGAACGAAGACGACGGACCACTGCGAGAGACTGCGACGGACATACGGACGAGTTGCTAGGGCAGAAATCAGCCGCAGTAGCGACAACGCCGAGTACTTCCCAAGATTCGCATGGTGGATTTTCGCAACAATATGTATTTTACCTCTCTTTAAGAACGTGAGTCCCAAGTGTTTTCTCTCTGTGTATATATATATCTCTAATAAAATCTATTTTGTTACAGAGAGAATAAAATTATATTTACGTAATCACGCGTGAGAGAGAAAGCGTGACTGCGTTTTTTTCACTTTCATTCTTCGCGTCAGCTGTCACAGGATCCGAGGATATATCAGACAATAATTTGGAGATCAACAGAACTCGTCGAGAGGATAACGTAGTGTGTGATGTTACCGAGCGAGGATCGATAATTACAGAATCTCGATTATCGATTGAAGTAACATACTTGGTGATGATGATGATGATTCATCGTGAAAATATATCGCGATTGTAGGCAAGTCAAGTGGTCGATCAAAATGCCAAATCATCAGGTGGAGCTTACGTGAACACGTAGATGAGTTTACAATCTGTTTGCGAATGAATGCGTGCGCAGTGATTACCTCTTCGTGTTGTTGGCTGCACTGTGCGAACATCTTGAAGGTATTTGAAATTTCGCTGCGCCAGTTCGTTTGTTTGCGCGCCAATGGGTGGTTCGCTCTAGCGATGCTTGGAAAACAAATCTCTCCTTGTATTAAGCAGAGTTTTTCACCGCAATGTTTGAATTGCTGTGCGCCGAAACAAACAGGCACGTAATTGTTGTCGAGTAACGCACGTTACTCTCGAACGAACAACAAACATGATGGACTCCGGCGACGAGGACATCTTCGCTATTAGCGACGAGGATTTTCCGTCGATGCAAGTCGTGCAATCGAATCCTGTTGAGGATCATTTGCTGAAACAGCTCGCTGACGTTCAGAGCAGAATCGACTTCGTGAAAAATGAGATAGCGGAAGTGGAAGTGACCGCAACGCGCGTTTTGAAGTCGCTTCAGTGGCGCGAACTTTATGGAGAAGACGTCGATTCGGATTCTGATGGTGATGTAAGCAGACAAGATTTTTTAAAATAAATTCTAATGATATTTATCTCTCAAGTATTTGTGTAAAGTATTTGTGTGTAAAATTGATTCCGTGTTTATTAGTATCTTCTTTTATAAAAATTATAACAGAAGTATCTTCTATTATATTGTGTGAGATTATTAAAATACCATTTTTGGATAAAATGTTATTAAATAATATATATTTAACTCTACAGATGTACACCGCAGAAGGAACGCCCGTTATAAAGAAAAATAGCAAGACTGATCCAAAGATTCCGAAGACAAATTTGGTGGTAGCTGCACAGTGGCAGTGTATTCTTCAGGATAAGTGGATTATTGGAGTAGAACTGCTGAACAAGTCGTGTTGGTAAGTCTTGTTATTGCTAATAAAAATTTTTATCAATAATTATCACGTCTGGTGCAAGTTGTGCTTCGCATAAAACAAAAACAAAAGAAAAGTGCGTGTTGAAATAAAACAACACAAAACATATACAAAGTCATCTTTATTCAACAATTTATTTTTTATTTATTTTATATGTATATATATATATATATAAATTTATATAATATTACGTGACAATTTTGTCATCAAAATTCAATAATTGAGTTCTCGCTATATCTTAGATATAATTCTCATATTTAGAACTTGATTAGTACTACAGAAATGTATCCAGTTTGGATTAGTTTCTGTTACGGCCAGAATATTATATCGTCATAAAATAAGCTGCCCGCGTTTCCGTTTCGCTCCAGAAAATATACATGTTGCAATTTCTCAGAATAAATTTAAAATTTCTATAAAAAATGTTCGCATTTTGTTTAAATATAATTTAATGTGGTTAACTTAAGTTGTTTCGCGACATTTTGCACTGTGTGTTTTTCAATTCAGGCAGTACTATTACCGTGGTTTATTGTAATATACGATACTTTAGAGCCACGAAAAGAAATTATATTGTACAGTCAAGTTGTCACAACTTAGTGAAGTAGATATTTTTATTTGTTGCGCTGGACACAATACTAGAACTGTCACAAGTTCTCTTCACAATTCTGTGTCTAAATTCTGTTAAGACAATTTTATTACATTTCTATTTTTAAAAGCTCTAGGAATTTTTTTTTTTTAACGATTGTATACTCAATCTATATTACGCATTATTTAAAAGGAAGATAATTGTGTGAGAGAGAGAGATATGCAAATTTTGAGTGATTTTACGTTACTAAAGCTTTTGAAGCTGATACTCACATACATTCACGGAAAATGATTGTTTCGTCAATTTTGCGAGAACAGAATCAACGAACTATTCGTCATTCATATTTTTGCAAATCGTTTTTGTTTTCTTACTGTAAAAGTTTTTCTTATCGTATACTATTCTCCGATATAGCCCTCCTATGATTTATCGTATAACAAATTAATAAACTTTTCAAGGTAGATACGTACTATTATAATTTGTAACATTACAACACAATCTAAGCGTAAATTACACAATCCAAGAGAAGTGGAGAGTGTTTCGATATTTGTAAAATCCTTATATGTGAAGAAATGCATGATCGACGGTATGATCGTCATGTAGCCTCTTACCCTTTCTTGAATTTCATGTAAATCTTACCTATGGGTTTTCTTCGTTGTGTCGCACCGCCTTCGCAATCGAATTAAAATTCTTACGTGTTTGTCTAATATATTAGTAAGACAAAGTTTCACAGACGAAATTTCTTACGTCATTTTTTACACATTAACGTGGTAACTTCGTCTCTTCCGAACGCTAGATACTCCTCGGGCGAGTAATCGAACAATACGAAGTCATATCTATGAAAAAAAAAAAAAAAAAAAGATAAGATAGAATAATCTAGTAGAGTTTCTGTTACAATAGTATACAGCAGTGACACACACGTACCTGAACATCTCGTAAAGCTCATTGATCTGCGTTTTAGATAATTGAGTAAAATAATTCTTTATGACGTCTTTCGTCTGGACGCCCTTGGTTGGATTTTTCCACACTGGCTTAATGATGTGTCCCACACGGGCTTGCTTGATAAGGTAGTCTTGATCATCCTTCAACAAGGAATTTGCAATATTCAAATTGAATATTTTCCAAAAATGTAAATATCCAAAAAAGATCTATTCTACATCTTGATTGATTTGGTTTTATATACCGCAGATCGCGCTTACGTGTAACGTCTCGAATTTAGCTATCACATCGAATCGCACTTGACAGGGTGTGCAGAAATTCACCACCGGCGTCCAGTGCATGTCAAGATCGTTTCCCGCCTTCCACTGACATAACAGCCATCGCACAAATTCCTCGAAGAGCGGATATCTCGGTCCCTGTCTTGTGTTCGTCTTTGAATTCTATATTTCACGGAAAAGTACAATATTAAAAATGTTTGATCGAAATCTCGATTTAAGATCCGCTAACGTAAAATTGCAAGAACAGAACTTCAATTCTCAAGTTCTCGTAATTTTTTTTTTTATACATTTTTCAATATTGATGTAAATCTTTCTACACTTTCGGATGTTCACAATTTGGCGTACGTTCTTGACGATATCTTCAAATTTTTATAGTCAAATGACATTACTTTTGCTCTGTAGTTCCAAACGATGTGCGCCCCGAGGTTGCTGTGAAACGTGTGCGGTAGGCTGTGCTCCAGTTTATCCCGATAAGCGCTGAGCAATCTCTCGAATGGATGTCGGACTATGAGAAAACTGATGCTGTCGTTTAAGTATTTAGCCAGTTCTTCCGCAGTATGTCTGGGATACCTCTGTCTGGCCAACGAGACCGGCACTGCCTTTGAGGCCTTTAGAAATTGCGGACTGTATCTGCAATATCGGCGCAATATTAATTTCTCGAGTTCGAATGAATTTGATTTAAAAAAAAATATTTACTTTATCGATTTTGTTGAGTTCCGTTACGCCGGGCCTAATAAATACTGTTCAGTATTTTCATCTCGGGATTTTAGTTTATTTTACGACGCAACAATACGAGATAAACACACGTGAGAAGCAATAGAATTTTTCTTTTATAATTTTCTCGTCAACGGGAGAAAAACACTTAAACGTGGAAACACAAAAAAACTCACCCCGCGAGTAAATTAAAGTTATACATCCACGATGTTGACGCCGCTTTGAAAACGTTACACCATATAAGATGATATTCTCTATTTACAAGAAACTCCCAGGCGTTCGGCCTGTGAAGCGAGTCGTTGCCGGGACGATCGAGTCCTTCCTCGGCGCATTTTTCCGCTAAGAATTTCCGTCTGGCTATCAGACGTTGCTCAGTTTCCGCCACGGCAATCTGCTCCAATAGCTTTTCCTCCGGTGTCAGATTCGCGTCCTGCATAAATGCAGAGAGTCATAATTTGTAAAGAAAAACCGGTGAGAAAAAAGCGGATTTTTGTGATATTATCTACATAATAATATAATAATAATAATAATATTAAATAATAACGATATATTTATAATATCGATATTTAATATTTTCATTTTTTAGATTTTATGATTTCTCGGAAAAAAGCCCTTCATACACGGAGAAATTTTATTATTATTTTATACATCTGGTTATTTATATAAATTATGTATAATCGTATATGTGTGTGAGAGAAGATTGTCTCCCAACTCCCATTGTACAGCTATATGTAATTATTTATAACCAGATATATTGAATTTGTTTGCACATGCAGAATTTTTTTTCTGATTTTTTTCATTTAATTATGTATCGAACATTTATATATATAACTTCTTTAAAATTATTATTAAATAATATCAAAATATGAATATTTGGACAATTTACTCAATTATTTTGCGACAGGTTTGCAACATTGGCGTCAAGTGATACGGGACGTGTATACAGTTTTGTCATTACCTCTCATTAATCCATTATGTATGTAACGGGTAGATTCGTAAGTACAAGGTCCAATGTACACTAAATTACGCCACGCATTACACAGAGTGGAGTGTACAAAAAAATGTGCAATTGTTTTTTTACCGTATGTCGTATAACGAATAAAAGAAATGTGTGAACCGTTACTCATGATCGATACAAAAACTCAGCAACGATTGTTGACGCAAATAATTGCGACATAATGGCTCAAGATCATAAGCAACTATAGTTATTAGAGTAATCGCGATACGTACAAAAAAAATCTTGAACAATTTAAATAATTTGACTGTATTGTCAATTCGGTCGGTCTCTCCGAGAAAATTTACATGTTATGACGCGAGCTTTCTATAAAGATCGCGCGCGATACTGACCTCCGCTACACGCAAGGTTAATCCAATTTCCTAATTTCTGCAATTAGTCAAAGTACACGCCGCGCTTACTGCACAGTAAACCCACTGCGCCGCGCAAAATTGATGAGATGCGTTTAGGGTACATTTGCGATCCCAAGATGGCACGTTTCTCTCCGCGATGATTTTGTGAATCATTCGTATTTTCGGGAAAATTGGCTTCCGAGAGAAGTGCGCGAGATCCGCGTCATCGTCGTCGCGGCCGATCTTATTTTGTAACATTCAAATCTAGGAATTGAAACTTGTTCTTATTGTCGGCGACAAGAAGTGAAAATAACTTTCTCTCGAGAAGGAACATGTCGATCATGTGTGCGTGTTATATGTTATATTTTTCCAATTCTCTTTGAATTTTGAGACTTGCTAGCTCATCAGATTGCGGCGAATAAATTGTAACGATTTTGCTATTGCGACATCGCGACAAAAAAAAACATCGGAAGGTCGTTTTTTTGTAACACTATTCACGTTCGTCGGAAACGAATGGCGTGGCATACGAGTGACGTGAGAAAATCGCATTGATACGCGCGTAGCGCAGCGAGCTGGTAAGACTGAATGCAGAACTACCGGCTTCTGCTTATTGATTTCGATGTGGAACGCGTCTTGTGCAGAGACGGCGAATGTGGGCCACAGAGGGTGGCGGTGGTGGTGGTGCGACGGCATATCGCCGCACGTTTATGCACTGGCGCATCGTGCATGCACGTGCCACCCTATACAAGAAGTTAGAACGCGGAAATCTCACTGCTTCGCCCGCGCGCTGTACATATATTTTTCTTTGCGTCTACATAGCTGCTTGTTCGCATTTAACGATAAGATAAAGTCCGGTTAAACAGTCTTTGCCAATGCGGTTGGATAGACGTTCGTCCATTCGTGAAGTTTGTTGGAAAAACATTTGTTGGAAATGCGGCGCAGCACTGCCGCGCATATTCTTCAAACATGTTTATTCCACTTATCAGTCACAATGCAAATTTATGTCGTTGAACACTTATGTTTGAACAGTCGCGTTTTTTCCTCTTGGGAAGTAAAAAAGAAATACAATTGTTCTGTTTAAGCGCGATGTGCTGAGAAGATAAAAATGATTATGTGTAATTAGTTTTTTTTTCAAGAGTTAGAGATATGTATTCGATAAACTCTTGAATTTACAAGTTTTTTTTTTTATTTCTAATTGTGAAACGTTACTCTAGTGCTCAGATCGAGGTCTCGTTGTTCCGCGAAGAGTTTCGTTAATGATAGTTTCGAGTGGTTTTCGAAAAAAGCAATTAAAAAATTGATTTTTCACAATAAAATTTTGCTATTAAGTACATCGCGATTGTTTCGCTATGTGCGTGTTTTTTTTCAGCGCGTAAATCGTCGCGCGTGTGACGTTGTATTAAAATTTTATGTATAGGAATAATATAACCGTAAATTAATCGTGCAAAATGCTTTTAAAAAAAATTGTTCGACGTCACGCGCTATTTAAATGTACGCTTCGTTCGTGCGACGACAGACGCGAAGCGATGATGTTCACGATTAGGAATAAAACTTTAACTTGTCTTTTTTGGACACTTGACTTAAATAGGTCATATCAGGCGGGCACTGATCCACGTTACCGCATTGCGCCTGGAATTGTGCCAGTCTGTGGTCGTTGTGCTTTACGTAAGGGAACCGGCGCGGTTTCGGTCCCCGAGTATTGGAGGAATCCAGGTATAATCTTCTTTGTGAACAGACCTTATCTTTCTTTTAATAAATCGCTCAAAGAGATGAGACTGCTCAGCTTCAAGTTTCATAAATTATTCAAACAGCAAATGAGCGGAGAAAAAATCATGGCCGTAAAAAACATGAAGTAGTTACACGTGCAGTGTTAAACAAAACGGTAAAGATGTTAGGAGACGTGCGCGCTCACACACACACACACACACACACACACGTGAAAGGACGATAAAGTGTGCGCACACAAGAACAAAGATTAACAAGTCGGAGTCTAATGCGCAGAAAACTTGAAATATAAATTTCGCTATACGTGAAAGCGATACTCGGGAAATACACACACCTCCAGAGAATTTCCATGCTGCAGGCTGTTGGTGGTGTCCTGGCCCGACAGCGTCAGGATGATGAGTGCCAGGACACCGGCGGCACAGAGAGCACGGCGAACTCCTGTCAAGACGCGACGACGTGAGGTCATCTTCTCCCGAAGAACGTGTTTCCGAATGTATTCATATCGGACTGAAACAACACACACACACACCCACACACACATTATTAGTTATCTCACGTACTTATTTTCTCCTTCGTATCGATCATCTCTACATTGATCGAATAAACAACCAATGAATCAATAAGCGAGCTCTCTGGCTTATTAGAATCGGACATGAATTTGATATATCGGTTTGCAAGCAAATTAGAGTCAAAATGAACGTTGTATAAATTGTATACAAATGCGTGTGTATACAGCACTTACGTTTAGTAATGGTGCAGATACGATGTAATCTGCATACATTTTCTCTTGCGGAAAACAGAATTACGGGCTTGATGAACGGTCTGTTTCGACACGATACCGCGTGCGCATTTCGTTCCGATGAGGAAACAAACGATGCGATACATCAGATAATAATAATAATATATATATACATAATTCACGCGGATTGTGCTGCGTTATCGCATTTCGATCGGTGTTTTTTTTTTTTAATACCCAAAAACGTACGTTTCGAGAAAATCAAACACCACCCGAGTGTGCGTTCGAACTGCTGGAAACGCGCGGGAAAAGAAAACCGATAGAATCGGGCAATCAGTTTCGCATTTCTCGGCGATTGGTATGCGTCTCCTCTCTTTGTGTGTGTGTTGAGATCGCGGAAATATCAGCACGCCAAGCAGTCGAGAAGCCGCGACCGCGTCCACGCGATGAGCGCACTTCAGAAATTCGCGCGGTCAGTCCATCGGTGTCAATAGTCCGTCCGTGCGAATGATCTCCCACGATTTTCTCCTGTTTCTATCCGTTATAATATACCTGTGTGTCGCGCGACTCGATATTCTCTCTCATTGTCCGCGCGTTACACACGTTAAACCGTTACGCGCGATAATTTTAAGCGTATGATTATTAATTAAGAAGGAAAGAATAAAATTCTCGTTATGTTGGTTTTTTCTTAAAAAAAAAAACGAGTTTTGATACACACTGTGTGGTGGCGACTACTGTTGCGTTTGACGGGTGCAACCGTGAGACAAATTGCACAGTCGGCAAAAAGAAAACTTAACAGAGCGCTTATACGAGCGAACACTTCGTTTTACGGAAGTGTTGTGCAAAGCGCGATTAAATTTACTCAAGCTTCGCGAAAATAAACGTCGTTTCAGCAGCAATGTATCAGCCCGATACAACCGTATCAGTGGACATGGATACTCAGTTTTTTCTCGTCTTTTGGCTTTTACATCGATCTTACAATGATTTTACTTGAATATCTAAATATTTGCTTAGTCTATTTTTTTTTTTTTTTTTTGAATTTTATTTCTTCCTACACTGATCTTTTTGGCTTTCGTGTTGGACTTGTTCTTTTTTCTTCTTTCTTAAGATTTTCTTCAGCTCGCTATGTTCTTTCCCATTCTCTGAAGTCCTCATCGGCAAACTTTCTCTGTCTTCTACACTTGTTTCACAACTTTCTTGACAATCTTCTTCAAGTGTCTATCTGTGTACCGTTATTTCTTTATAGCATATAAACCTAAACACTCAAAAAGTGATCGACTTTCTCAATCTTTATTTCCTTCCAAAGCCACTGGTCCTTCTACTCCCCCGTTTTTTGGAAGTCGACACCTTCGACTTTTCTACACCTAGGGCTTATCTCTCTTTTCCCCAAAAATTTCGAGAAATTCCTGAGTATCACTTTCAGATTAGTTGCCTCCCGATCTCAATGTCGTAGGCTTATCTCTCTTTTCCTCAAAAATTTCGAGAAATTCGTCAGCATCTCTTTCAGATCGGCTGCCTCCCGATCCCAATGTCGTGCTTCGGAGTCTTCACATCGCACCAGATCGTATCAGCGTCGTTACATTCACGCGGCATATAGGAGTAAAATGTCAAAAGGTATCGCGTATATTGCTTTTCTATTGGATTCGAAAAACACTTCTTGTAATCCTGATACGTCACAAAGGTATCTCTGTTCGTAATTTTCCTCGATTAAGGCCACACACCATTTCCCATCGTGTTGTCGTATCTTGGGCGTATTTTTTGTACTATAAGACACGAACAAACACGTATCGATTTTACAATACTGTAACTATGCCAATTGATCTAGCCTCTGAAGCAAAACCGACTTCCTCTCGTACCCGTTTCAATAATCCATTGTACAACGTCGCTCATTCGCAGTCGCGTAATCTCTTTTATATAACTTGACTGCGTTCTGCGCGGTGTAATCAATTTAATTCAGCAAAATGTATTTCATTGCCATCGTAAGATCAAAGAAAATTAGATCGCGACATTGTTTTTGTATGAAATAATTGTAATTATATGCGATAATACACACACGCACACACAGAGGCGCGATAATAAACGAACCGAGCATGTGCAAGAGCTTGTAACGTGTGTGTATTCTACAAAATTAACCGAGTCATTAAAAAGACTGATGATACGGTGTTGCATAACGTTAATGCAATCGAATGAGAAAAACCGTATGTGAAACGATGGGATTTATCTCGCATTCGTGCGCGTACCGTCTCCGTGGGAAATGGATCCATACACCGCGGGCGGCAGGATTTCAGCATTAGATTACATAAGCCTGGGCGATACTATTCTATGTGTGCATATACGCGACTTGTGTTTTCCGTGAGATCCGAGACGGAAAGAAAGAGAAATTGTTTCGCAGCGACGAAAACGCTTGTTTGATCGTCGAGAGCTGTAATTTTACGAGTTCGGTTTGCGTCGCAAAATACACAAAGTAATAAAATCTTGTTATTATTAAAACAAACAAACGTCGCAACGTTGTCGGTTACATTTAGTCTGGTTATCTCTGATTAAAATCGCGTCGTTAAAAATCTCGTAAAACTGCTCGAGAAATGTGATACAAAAACATGATTAATGAAAGAAATTTATTAATGAAAGAAGTGAATATGACTTTTCAAAGTCAAAGAAAAAAGAAACAAAAAATTTCCAAAAGAGTTTCAGAATAATTACTTCTCTTTGTGAGAGGATTAATGTATTCTGTCATATAATCCAATTAAAAGAACGTTTTATGAAAGAAAGCGAACTCGCGTGTATTGGGATGCCAATAGGTTAACAAAATATCGCTAATCAAACTGTGTTAGTCGTGAGCGCGTTATAACGCGATAATTATCATTGGATAACGACGTTGAAAGACATAACACTATTAATATTAAACAAGTTGCTCGATGAGATCGTTATATTCTGAAAATTGAACGTTTTCACGTTTCAAATGTTTGTGTTTTAAGAATCGACGTGAGAATTAATTCTTAAAATAGCAAATTGATTATTAACAATAAATCAAGTTTGTTTCGAATTTAAATAACTCTTGAAAGCGACGATGCCAATATCAATTCGATTAATTTTTTCGTCTCTTCTCAATGATTTATAATCAGAAAGAATCTGCGACTCTCTCTCTCTCTCTCTCTCTCTCTCTCAATTAGTAGTCTAGCAATTTAATTATGATTAGCAATTTAGTTACATCTGTGTATCAGTATGATTTTATGCATTTTACATCTTTTTTTTGTACAAAAAAAAAATTAATAAATTGATCTATAGTGTTAAATTACTTTAATTCTTTGCGCCCGATCTAAGTTCGTATCGACTGCAATGTGGAAGAAATGATGAGACTTATTATTATTTAATCGCGCGATCAATGCGAACCGGCATGAATGAGACAAAATATTAAAATCAGAGATTTAAATAATGTCAAATGTGTGTTTCAATATTTTTTGATGTCGCATCACAAATTTTTATGACATAGTATAATTTATTATCGTTCACTTATACATGCGGGCTCGGTTTTTATGTATATGTTAATATTTTTTAACGTAATTCACTGTAACGTTTATATGTTGCAAAAATTTGTGACGAATAAATGAAACGACATATCGACGGGCTGTAATTCGCGATCGAAAGTGCACCGCGGGTCAGCGAGGTGGCCTTTCTATTAAAATCTCAGGATTCGTTACGAGGGTAAGTGTGCGCGCCACCACCTTGAGAGATTTGCATCTCTCCAAAAGGGTTGGAGACGATCCCTCTCGTGTGATCTCATCGCGCGTACCTTCTCTGGGCATATATTCCGTCGGCGGGAAATTACTGCTGCATTTGTCGTCGTCGACGAGCGATGGCCTGGCGTCGTTGCTCCCCCAGGTCGCGTCGTCGGGTGTAACGCGTTAGGGATGTTCGCGTAACGCCACGGTGGAGGTCGGAACCGATGCAGGAGAGCCCGGATATACGGACGACAACGATATGCGTGTGTGCCACGTGATGCGTACGCGTGTCGGTCAGGAAAAATACGATGCCCCGCGTACGATCACGGCGGCATCGTGCAGATCACTGAGACCGACCGGCCTCCTCAACGGACGCCTCGACGCTCGCGTCCGACGCTCTGTGCCACCCGTCCCGCCAGGACCGGTTTCTCGAGGCGCGACGCAACGTGTCCCTAAACATGGCCCGTTACAATCACGGTTTGACAGTAGATCTTTGTCTATTGGAGATTAGGTGTTTTGAAAATTTTAAAGACAATTAATTCAAAATAAAAAAAATTTATTGAGATGTATTTAAAATTTACATGCGCTTTTTTATTTTGCATTTATGATTATTATCAATTGTTTCCGAGAAAAAATTTAAACTAAATCTTTTTTGAGATAACACTAAATATGAAGAATATTAAAAAACTCATTGATTCTCTCTGAGAAATGTCACGAGTACGAGTAAAAAAAAAGCAACATAAGTGATAAAGATAATAGAAATGACAAAAATGTACAAAAAAATACGTGTAACAAGTATAAAGACAGAAAATCCTACGTATATACATATACAAATTTTATGTCGGGGGTGAAAAAATATCCAGAGCCGGGCCTGCGGCTTGCCTGCTTTCGTCGATTGGTCAGTTTTTTCGCGGGTCGATTTGCCGCTGGACGTTTCTCGCGCAAACGCGAGCAAGCACCTTCTTGGTCGGCGACCGATCAATCGAAATTGAAATTTAATTACAAATAGCAATTCGCGATTTGCGGCGAATTGTTCATGTAATCGCGAATACAGCGCGTAACAAACTTGCATTCTCGCGATGAGATTACGTGAATTATTGCGGTGTGATTTTATATTATCGTAGCACAAAACAATTAACATTTCTTGATACATCAATTTGGCGAAAATAAAAAAATAGTTTTATTTTGTGATTATTTGCATAATTAAAAATAGTGTTTGTTTATGTCACGAGTGTTTCTACATCAATTCTTTTATTCAACATTTGTATTAATTTTGTCTCATTGTTATTTTTATTTATTAGATTCAAATTATATACAACGCGAATAAAATACTCAAGAAATAAATGTGATTAAAAAATAGAAACATTTTTTCAATATTAGGAAAATAAATAAAATCGTCAGGAAAATAAATAAAATCAGATATTATGTATTCAATATTTTCTCTGTCTCTTTTTCTCTCTTAGGAAAGAAGAAGGAAGAGGAACAGTTTACTTAATAAAACTATTCCGTTGTCGTTGATGTTACGTCATTATGCTTTTACAGGAACATCGCGATTAGTATCTTTGTTCGTGGGTCGATCTGCATAGATAATGTCAGTGCAAACGTTACATTCAAGGTCGTGTGCATAACCGCTGACCTGGCGACCGCGTTATCTCTCTTTTTCTCTGTATATGATTTGAATTCTCTTATTTTTCCCAAAAAAGCGTGTTTCTTTTTTTATTTTTTTTTTAGTTTTTTTAACGTATATTTGTAGTGATTACTAGTAGATAAATTATAACGCGATGCAGTCAGGTAGAAAATATGTAGACAGATACGATATAAAGATATTAAAAGCATTTATCATGTATACGTGTTTATTAACATATTTACATTTTTAACAAATATTACAATTCACTTTCGCACGTTTTAACATTGATTTACATTAAAATTCAAATCAGTGCAATATAAAAACATTTTCTTACAATATACAAATCATCTGAATTTTCCCTGTGAAATCAGAAAAACTTCTTTATGCGTGTGATTGCTTCTAGGAAAGAATCTATTTCTTTGCAGCACGTTACTCAATCTCAGATATTATCCATATGTGCGAGATGAAGCGGAGATTTACGGCGAGTCCGTATTTTGGAAGAATAACAAAAACTTTCATTGGGAAAGGACAAGCTTCATTACGCCCGAATGTTCAATGGTGGCGATTGTAGTGCTCGATCTACCGAGATTCGATCGACAACCTGTCGTTGAGTGCTGGGGCATGATCGCGTACAAGATCGATGAAATGTCGTACCAGCTCCCGGTCCCGTCTATGCGGCTCACTATCGCCGAGACCTTCGCCAATTCGTGTATGACGTTCCTGAACGGAAACGAGCGCGTTGTTCTGCTGGCTCTGAAGAGCACGTGCAACACCGAGAAGATTATCACGCTTCGCCTCAAAGATAACGAGAAAAAATACGACGCACACTACAGAAGAGAAGCGCTTTGCTACTTCCTGACTTCGAGAACCTTCGAGCAACTTTACTCCGATGTTTTCTTGGTGCAGAAACACAATTCTCTCATGTATTGTTTGGTCGAAGTGCAATCGATCGACGCCAGCGAAACAAGAATCAAGATCTGCGTCAGGTAATATCACCCGTGAGAAAACCCGTTTTTTCTTTTCGGGATCGCACACTCGTGGATGTTGACAAATGTTCGTGCGACTCGCGCGTAAAGGAAAATTGATTTACATTATCGATTACACGATTGCAGATCCATCAACCAGCTGAACATAATACTGCACTGTCTGCGAGACCAGTTTCCGAAGGATGATGTGATCGTCGAAGATGAGGTGGACGATTGCGTTGAAGCTGCCATGGCTCTGATACATGAGCTGGAAGTTATTCGCGATAAGAAGAGCGTTTTCGAGATACAGGAAGCGAAAGTGATAACGGACTTACTTATTTCGTGAGTGTGTTATTTTTTTATATATATGTATATATATGTAAATAATAAAATATATTTATATATATATATATACGCAAATATACACATTATGTTAATATTTATATTAGCATAATGCGTATTTTTCTCTCTCTTTCCGTTCATTAAATGTTCCTAATATTTTTTATATTAATATATAAGTAGCTATTAGAAATGCGGTGATAAAAATACATTATACAAAAAAACCAAAGATAATTTACTAAAAGCGAATAAATTACGTTTGTTAAATATCGTGTGCTTACATTTTTGTTTTTATCATTTTCTTGAATTAAATTGCCAATAAATCATATCGTGCGTTATTTATCATATATTTAATATCTTCTTCACGCGAAACGTATAAATAGAAGGAACGTGAGCAAGTAGGTCTCTCTTGTGCTGTTACACGTGCTATCTATTTCATCGCAAAAAATTCGTCAAATTTCTCATATTTCGTCTACGTCGTTTACGTGGCACATTCTTCATTTTGTAATGATACGTTATTTTTTCCGCTACAAGTATCGCGAATGAGATTATCGTTCCGTAACAGAGTATCAGAAAGATCAAGTAAACTTGATGTAAGTCGATCATTTTAAATTCGACCGGGTTCTTATTCTGCATTCGAGTGTCCAACCAGCGATCTCGCAAAGCGTCTAACAATCCGACCTCGTTTATCTTGATGAGTCTGCAGGAAGTGCAAAATGACAAAATAAAAAACGCGCACTTAATCTTAGCCTAGAAATAAAGAACTCTTAAAACACGAAATAAATAAGCGACAATTGTTATGCGACATCAACTTACGCGGAATCGATTGTTCTCTTGTAGCGGAAGTTCTTTTTGATTGCGAAAGTTATCCAGGTCTCGTTGTAATTACCTGTGGATTGGAGCGGACAACCGCGCCTATTTAGTGCCTTAAATCGATCCTCGATCTCGAACATCGCGTACTTCTCCATGTCGTTGCAGATCGTGTTATGCAAGTCTTCCGCAATGTCTATAAATTGTACGCGTTTAAGAAGAATCTTGTCAGTGCCTTTGTTATGATACTTTTCCTTAAAAAAATAACAAGTAAGGATAAGTTGCGAACACACAATATCTTTGCTATTTTTTTTGTGTGGAATTGTTTAATGTGACAATTAGAAATGACATGTTGGAGAAAGTATAAACGCGTAAATTGTAATATAATAATAAATTGGCGATATTTACTTTAAGATAAGTGTGAAAGAAAGAGCCGTGATAACCCAACAGAATGTATTTCGTATTGTTGAAAAGAGTATCCAGATCCTTGAATGGTAAAATTGTTTGTCTATTTGCCATGCGATGTATGAGAAGGGAGCTGAAAGATAACAACACCAGCCACCCGAATATGCTCTTCGACAACGACAAAATCTTGAATTTGTTGTGGTAAGCGTCAGGCACGTGACCTGCACAAATACACAAATATTGTTACAGTGCAACGGAAACTTGAAACTCGCACAGAAACAAAAACAGTTTGTTTTTAATCTTAATAATAATCACCTTGCCCGCATATCGTCGCAAAAGAATAGAAAAAATGATCGTTCAAAGTGAAATATACAGAGCCTTTCTTTTTGCGTTTCTGATTCCGTTTCTGATTCAGTTTGTGCAGAAAGTAGCTGACGCTACTCAGAACAATGACTAGAAATATTATAAAGTACCACGTTTCCGGCGAGAACAATGTAAACACCCATTTGTTATCGAAGAGCTGCTGCGGTAAAATGTAGACGTGAAATCTAAAAATGTCAATTTATCATTGTTATCGTTCTTTATTTAATATCAATGATTAATTGTGCTCACAGTGCGAAAGCCAACCTGCTCTTCCAAAGAGGCACCGTGTAATCCACAAACTCCATGCGATCTTGAAAGAATCCAGTTCTCAAAATGACTTCTGTTTTATTTTGCATCACCATATTGATCATGCCATAATAAGTACCATTTTCCAGCTTCCCGCCGAACCCTCGATCGGTGGTTTTTATCGGAATAAATCTGAGAAAAAAAAATTACTTTAACAAGCTTTTGCTAAAATGTTTCAGGTGCGTGTCCCGAGAGATTCACGTCATGTAACGCACGTGAAATTGAGATAATCCGCGAGAAGATACCACAATTCGCCACAAATGCCGTTGATCGTCGTGTCATTGTCGTGGAACATCACCATGTTCTTTTCCTGCAGCAAGTACGAAATTGCTTTAGAAATGTTATTGATCTCATTCTCGAGACCTTATCCACCTCGTACCTCGTAATACGCGGCTTTTATTGTTTCATTTCTCATATCGAGGGACTCGAGGGCTCGACGCTCGGCCATTCTCGCTTCTTGAAGAGCGGCAAATTGCGGGATTGTGAACAACTGCACAAATTTTTGTTCTCGTTTGCGCCAGATTATTCCGCTCGCGGCGTAGCAGCGATTCATAATCGCGAGTTGGAAAATCGCAATTGTTAAAACGCATCGCATAGTTCCTCGCAAAATCACTTCTCTCGCAAACCTCGGTTATTCGACTAATTCCACGTAGTGATTCAACTCGCGGAAAATAACGTGTATAAATACGCATAGGGCGCGCATCGGTGAGAGATCGCAGGGATTGATAAGTACACACACACATTATAGTGTGTGGTTTATTACTTTCCATTAATGAAATTCATATCACTCCTAATGGATAGTTGGTTATGATAGCTGGGAATTGATAACGCGTGTGGATTAGTCACTTTTTCAGATTGATGAACGACGACGGCGGATATAATCACGTTTATGATCGAAATCAACCGGTTATCGCGATGTGATAATGCGTGTTCACGTGGAAGACAGATCGTTGTATCCGTATTGTTGACAATTCGTTATATAAGTGGAAAGAAAAGAGAAGGAAGAGAGTTAAAAAACGTTTTTTTTATAGTGCAAATTTTTAAAAATAAATTTTATTCTCAATGAAACTTTTTGTTACAAATAAAATTGATTCAAATTTTTGTTTATAAGTGTACACAATTACTTCGATTATGAAAATAACGAAGGCCAGTATCATCCCGTAGCACATCATTTTAAGCACAAGAGAAACTTGATCTATTCCGACCGCTTCGGGTTTGTTGATTTCGTATTCAATTTTCTTCGTCAGCCAACGATCTTTCAATCCGTCCCACAGTCCAACTTCCATCAGTTTCAGTATTCTGTTTGCGAAAAAGTTTACTCTTTCACATATGTATTGTAAATAACAACATAGTATATGATATGTAGCGCTTTACAATCGCTTGCGATGTTTCTTTACCCCATGTCAATGGTTCTTTTGTATTTGAAACCTTTCACAAGACCGGCGGATATCCACATGGTCAGGTAATGTTGTCCAACTGGAGTTAGGTGGCACAGAAGATGTTTTGTAGTTTTTTGTTCGTCGTCACCTTGAAATAGAACGTATTTATTTTTTTTCATAGAACACATCATAGTAATTATTTCCTCGAATTTTGATGCAGCGACGAAACGTTTGCTTTTTCGTACTTTTGTAAAACCTTCGTCAGTGCTCACCTGTGAAATGCGAACGTTCATTTTGTCGTAAACAAACATGTAACAAAATTTACTGAGTGTGTTATTTGTTTGTTAATACCTTAACCGCAATATCTACAATAGAACCTTTCAGACTGACGATGTTGTATTTAGTATTGGTCAACAGAGAGCCGAGATCATTAAACGGCGGTATAAAGAGTCTTTTAGTCATGTAAATAAATAAGAGCGCGCCAAATGCTATGGACAATATCGAACAAAAGAGACCCAGTGATATTTCCAGTATCCTCGACCTTCCGTCAAAAATCTCAGGAATGTAGCCTGTTGTGAGTATATATTGCATTCTAATAATTTATTACAATCATATCGTCATTACGTTCGAAAATCAGTTGCTATATATTCAAACAGTTATTTGTACTTTGATTGCAGAGCATCCCAAAGTTATAAAACAAATGGTCGCCGATGGTGGTGAGTCTGCGTTTGTTTCTAATCTTTGCGATTATAGTTTGCAACCCGAAACTGCACGCGTTCAGTAGCACATACATGACCAGGATGACGCACCAGATTTTCCAAGAAAACACTTTTGTCATCCACATACTGTCGTAAATCCCTCTGTCCCATATGTACAATTGATAGCTGCGAAATCGGAACCGTATGATCGAAGCCTCGTTAAAATCTCGATAATTATCTCAAATTTACCTGTTGATCCATAGAGGCGTTGTGAAGTCAACCGCCACAAGTCGTGTGCTGTACGTTTCCACCATTGGGATTACGTCGGTTTCATTGCGATAAATTATGCCTAATAATCCTTCGCTGTAAGTGTGATTCTTTGTGGGTACACCTAAGCCGTCTACGTTTACTCGTATCGGTTGTAATCTAGAAATATTTTTCGATTACTGTTTTTCGTTTTTTATCACGTGATTGTTTTTTCAGTCCTCACTTTTTTGTAATTTACTCGGAACGATCTTACGTGAAGTTCAACGTTTGGGAAAGAATGGTCCACAAATCACCGCAGAGTCCCGTGATCCTGGTGTTGTTGTCGTAGAATTCAAGAAAATTCCGTTCCTGAATTGCGTGCAACAAACGAAATTTGAAACGCGCGCAGTTGTGAAAACCAGATATCGCGCGCGCGCGCGCAAATGTTTGGGATAGAGAAACCCTACCTGAAAAGACGTCAAGGTCAGATTTTGCAGTTGAAAATTGTGAATTTCCAATGCCCGGCTTTGTCTGACGCGTTCTCGTTGCAACGTGGCGTACGCGGGCACACTGGAAATTGGTACGAAGGTTTTTTGCGATTTGCTCCAAATCACACCGTTCATCGTTCCGGACGATCGTCCGTGCGACGCGCGTGATCGGAAGAGAAAAAGTCGGTTTCGCGGGAACCCTTTGCGCGCATTGACGCTTTCTGATAGTTAATAACGACTTATATATCATTTTATTGCACAATATAGCGCGTAGTACGTGTGTAAAACTGAAATAGCGATTATCGTATTTTTTAATCAGGTTGCTCGAAGTAGAGAAAAACGAGAAATAAATGAGAATTAAACAGTTTGATGTTTTACTTCAGATGATATCTCTTCTGAGAATCTTATATGTGCGCGCGTTCAACCTCTGGGACATTTAATTTTTTTCTAGGTAGAAAAACCGATTATTTAAAATCAAAATATATATAAAAGCGACAGAGTGTGTTTGCTGATTATTACACAAAGGTTCGCATTTCTCTCTTCTCTCTCTCTCTCTCTTTCTCTGATCGATAGAAACATATTGTAGTCATATTTTACGACACGTGATGAAACATGATGTAATCAGAAATGCTAATATGCGATGTTTATCTTTCAGCGCGGTCAGGTCTTTTATCGGTCTTAGCATATGTAATAGATCAAACGGGGTAGATAGGTATCTTGCGTGGCGTGTGGTTTGCTCATGATGATATTTCATGAAATCGATTTTCATAACCGTCGCGATTTGCAAAGGGTGGCGTGTGCGCGTCTTTTACGTCTGTCCAGACTGCCTTGATACGGCTTTGATAAATTATCAGAGTGAATGCGGAGACGGAAATGATCGAGGTCAATGTTATACCACATCCGTCGTTGCGTAATACTAATCAAGCACACATTGATAATTACTCATCACAGATATCATCTCTCGCTTCGGTGCGCCATACTGTTCGCGATTAAAAGTAAAAGAATTTAGATATATTGTTTTTTTTTTTCAAGTGTAGATAATAATTTTATAAGGAAAAAGCGTGGGGACGAAATAACATCAGATTGCGATATACGAAAAACATGAATTGTATATTTGTATTTGACTGAGTATAAAGGTCTTAGATACACATCATTCTTTCGCTGAAGAATTCCATTCTTGACACAAATTAACCTCATTGTATAGCAAACTTCTTTTCGAAGTGATGGTCTCTCTCAAAATTACAATAGATAAAAACTTCAATTCGGAGGTACATCAATCTTAGTCTTCTTTTAATGGCAGTTGTGCGTGATGCGAAAAGCTAAGTACGAGATACTAAAAATTTTATCACGTTGTTACGTCTATAACCGTTGTTTCTTCCAACAAATCGAAAGCACGCTCTCTCTTTTTCTCCTCACTTTCTGCGTTAATATAAAAATTACGAAAATTATAATACCCTCTCTCCTTTCAATAATTTCAAAACATTTTACATTCTCTTAATTTATCGCTAATATATTTATTTACCTCGAAAATACGCAAAGAGTTAAATTTCGCAAAGTTATAAAATCAAAGTAGCGATATTTTTATAGCCTAGAGTCAAGATGTATATTGTACGTCCTATACACACACGCGCGTATATAATTAATAATAATATATAATTTATACACACACAAATATTCTCCGATAATTTTCCGTTTACTATCGCTGAATATTTACGGGTATCAAATCTCTCAGTCGTTTGTGAGTCTTCGAGGTCGAGAAATGTTAAGGACATATCGATTAAGAGGGAGGACGAGAATATTGCTGGTTAAGAAGTGACCTCGAAGATTTTTTTTTTTTTAGTAAAAGATACACGTACATCCACCTATTGTGTAAAAATGTATAAATCGGAGAAGAGTTTTTGTTTAACAGTTAAATATTCACTATCCGAATTTTGGCATATTAATATGGTTATAAAAAATTGCTCTTTAGAAAACATCTTAACGTACACATTCACAAATCGCACACTCAGGCATCTCTCTCTTTTTTTTTATCGCTCTTTCTTTCTCTCACATTCCCGCTCATTACAATATATACTCGATCGCGCGTGCTCGCATCTTTTTTTTTTTTTTTGAACAGTTCCGTAAAGAGTACATTTGAGAACATGATTCACGTAAAGTGTGAATTATAGAGCATAACAATATTTCATACAATATTACACTCTTTCGACAGAGCATGCATATTGATTAAACATTCGTTTTAATATTAAGTATCAACATTTGTTCTACAAGATTATTTCCTTCTCGTGAAATATATAAATTACCTCTTTCTCTTTCTCTCTCTCTCTCTCTCTTGCACAACTTATAAAGATACAAGTTATACACGTACATATACACACACATTTATTTGCGTGTATATGTGCAAAATTGTATACGTACTCGTAGTATATATATAATATATACTTTTGAAAAAATGATTGAGACAATTTATTTCTTCTTGTAAAAAATAAAAGAACAAATATATTTTCAAAAAATTCATTCCGTTTTTGTTTGTATAATTACAAATGGAATCATGTTAGAGCACGACATCCAATTCTGTTCTACGTGTATGTGTATATATTTATATATATATATATATATATTTATATATATATATACGTTAAAATTATGTTACATGTATAAGAAGACATTACACATAGAACATCCACAAAAAAACGAAAGTCAATATAAAATACGTGTACATGTGTAAAAATAAATAAATATACAAATATGTATATATAAATATATGGCAGTAGTTAAAATGTGTATAGCACAACCCTCTTTGTCTGTCATATGTTATTCTCAATATTGACCAAGAAAGAGAGTATCCGGCAGTCATAGAGATACGTATATGTATATGCTTTCATCGACACTCTTCGCGCGCAAATATCTGAAAAAACTTGTATATGTGTATTCGTCGCGAGTCAAACTGTGTTCACTTCGACACTCTTGTCTCAGTCGTGACTTTACTGGGATCCGGTAACCTGACGACCAACTGCGCGCCATTTTGCATCGGTCTCAGGCCATTGTTGATAGCGTTTGATTTGGGCGTACCAGCCTGCGGTACTGTTGTGGGTAAGACTTTCTTCGCGCCGCTCAACTTGGGCGAGCAACACTGTTTGTCATCGTAGACATCGTTCAGATTCACATTCGCGACGGGATTCTGGTAATTATTGGTTTTTATTGGCGTACCGTGTTCCGCGTTTGAAAACCCGCAATTAGGCTTCTGTTCGACGCAGTTGGAACTCGTGAAAGTGTTCACCGTTGACGGTAGCATTTTTATCGCGTTGTTGTAATCGTTAAGATTGCAGACAGCCGCCGGCTGCTGCTCCCCTTTCTGATCGCTTTTGTATATAGGCGCTGACAGTTGCGTCGAGTTCGTCTTGTTCGTGCTTTTGTGGCTACTACCGGAGTAACTAGTAATAGACTCGTTGCAAAAGTCACTCAAGTAGGTTTGATTTATGTACCAGTTGTGCAACCGATGATGGATCTCCGGAAACTGCGGTCGGCGATTCGCCACCTCATGCCAGCACTCGATCATCAGGCTATAGATCATCGTCGGACAATCTTCGGGACACGGCAGCAATTGCCGTGAGCGAATCATATCTATAACTTCCTGGTTGTTGTATCCATAATACGGCTATAAGAAGAAAGTTTCTTAGAAATCACAAGGGAAGAGGGTTTGAAAAACAAAACATTTATTTTATGCATGTACCGCTTGTTGCTTTACCTGCAAACCGTAGCTGTAAATCTCCCACAACACAACCCCGAAACTCCATACATCCGACTCAGTGGTGAACTTGCCATACAAAATCGACTCGGGCGGCATCCATCGAACGGGTAATAGACTCTTAGATTGTACCCTGTAATAGTCGCTGCTATAAATATCTCGCGACAAGCCGAAGTCCGAGATCTTCACCGTCAGATTATCGCCCACTAAGCAATTTCTAGCTGCCAAATCGCGGTGGACATAGTGATGGCTGGCCAAATATTCCATGCCTGTAAAACGAATCATTATTTAGCACGTAATAATAAATAAATTTGATTATGTGCACAAAATAAATTAGTCACTTACCAGAAGCGATCTGCAATGCAATATGTAAAAACTCCGGCTGTTCTAGAATTTTACCGTTGCTGTTGTTTAAGGGTACATCCGATCTCGGGGAATGGCAGATCAAAAATTCGTGTAGATCTCCCTGAGTCATATATTCGAAGAGCATACACATTGGTTCTCCCTTGAGTATCACGCCGAGTAGGCAAATGATATTCGGATGCCTCAGATCGGTCATAAGTTCAACTTCTCTCTTGAAATCGCTCTGAGTCTTCGGAGTCGCGTTTTCCTTCAGCGTTTTTACCGCAACGAAAATAGACGGCTCGCTTTTATTACCGGTCTGTAATTCGCCTTTGTAGACTTTTCCTGCAGACATAATCGATATCTCAATTTGTAGGAAATTTTGTAAAAAAAAAAAAAAATTAATAAACCATTGATTCTTACTTACCGAAAGCACCTTCGCCGAGTTCTTGCAACAGCACGACATTATTTGTGGTAAATTGAGGTATTCTATTATTTGACGTTCTGCTACTGCCACTGCTTAACGTGCCAGTACCCGGTGTCGTATTACCAGGTCCTGCCAAAAGGGAACTCATTTCCATTGGCTGTGTCGTGCTTCTTCTTCCATCATATATGTTCTTATCACATTGAATACCAGTCAACATCTAAAATAAAATCGTCATTTCAACATTTTCGTTTTGCTTCTTACTTAGTTTGTATCGACACATGTATCGATGTAGTTACTTTATTCGATGGCAGATGATTCATTTGCCTTCTGGATTTTCTGCTTCTGTAGCAGCAGCAATAGCAAATTAATATAACAACAAATCCTCCCGTTAATACGAAACCAACAACCGCATAAATCCATAAATTTTCAACTGCAAGAAATACATACTTTTAATTAGCGCTTTCCACACACATATAATAACATTTCTTACATCATATTTCATAAACTTACCACATTTGGATATGTTGCAAAACTCCTTTTGCATTCTGTTATTGACGTCGACGTAACACCATGGTTGCGATTCTTTGCCACCAGGATTCCGACAGTACGAGTGACGACCGGCTAATTCGGGGTAATCAGAAATTGGAAGATTGAAATGATAAGACCACCGTAAACACGGCCGTCCGCTAATGCTTGTTTTTACGGTTCCCCGATAGGATTTTCCACTGCCCCAATAACAGTAATCATCTGAAAGAAACGTGAAATGAGAAATGATTGTAATTGCCATGTGAAAACCGTTAAATTAAAACTTGTGCTACACGTACTTTCCTGCACGGTGTTCGCCACAGATAATCCGAGCGTTAGGCAATCGCGAGCTTCTGTCGTTCCCTCCAATGGCAAGTCCGAACATTCAACCAAAGGCACTTGATGCCCAATTAAAGGATGCCTCTTCGCTATCGCGTACTCCTTTCGGCACAATTCGTTCTCCAGCATTTCGCACTCCTCTCGGCATATTCTTCGCAACTTACGATTCATCTCGTTTCTATTGGACGCTCGCAAGTCCCCGTAACTCTGATTGATTATTTTCTTATTGCTCGTCTTTCCGTTCTCGTTGGGTATAAAATCAAAGGTCGGACCTGAAAAGGTTGGATCCAAAGTAGGACTGCGTTTCTTGGGAATGCCGTGCATTTTTGCGAATTCGTCCGCGTCGTCGCGATCATCGTCCAATAGATGATCCTTCTCGGAATTCAAAAGCCTAAAGAGCTGCGTGCTCGCTTCTGTGTTTTTCGGTTTTTGATTGTTCGACGAGTCACGACATATCGGAAAAGCGGAATAGCACAGAGACGGCTTTGCATATCCTTCACAATTTGATGAAAGTTCACTGTGCAAAGAAAAAAGTAATTTTTATTTCTCAATGTGACAAATTGCGATATCGCATAACGATATACTCACTTCGAAAAATTAATAACTTGAAATGCTTTCATTAATTTCTCCTCAAGCATCTTTTGTGTCATAGGATATGTTATATAAACCGATTGGTTTCCTACAAATTGTGCACACGTTTGTCCTGTATATACCTGAAAAAAATTTTTAACACTTTTCTTTACACACGAAACAATGAACAATTTTATTTATATTTGTCTTTGTGTTTCAACACCAACCTCGCAAGTTCCTTTATGATTGTCTTTTCTGTTTAAAACATTACTTATGCCCGATATTTCATCAACATTGGATGGAAACTGTATATTGCCATTAGTAAGGCCGCTAATTGTATTGAAATCCATGGTGGATTGTAAGCTGGTCGGATGTGGACTTGGCAAAAGTATGCCACCAAATGGATTTGCAGATGCCAGATGAGAGAGATGAGGTGTTGACACTCCACTGCCCAGGTTGTCCAATGAGTCTCCATTCCCCATACTATCGTAACAAGAAGACAAAACATTTAAATATACCAAACTTGGAATCTCTTAATTACTCTAAATACCAAAATATCTACATAAATGCAAAAAAAAAAAAAAAAAAAAACAAGTAAAGAAATCTCGCTACCAAATCGCCAATAATATTCGAATCAGTCTTGAAGGAGTTAAATACCAATACTTTATCTAATCTTTTTCCTCCTAAAAAAAAAAAAAAAAACAAACAATAAAAACAACTTGTGGATTATTCCGGCATAACCTCGCAGAGATAACGCTGCGATACCTTGTCACTGTCGTGTTAACGTTCCCGGCGCTATTTACGACTTGTACAAAAATACACAAACTCTGCAACAATACTAGGTACAAGAGTAGCTTCATAATTTACAATTTAACTATCAAAACATTTGGTTTAACGTGTAGTGGCTCGTCATCTGACACCGCATCAGGTGTCAACCATTTGTAAACTGATGGCAACTGACCAGACCAGACGCGCGTTATAAACAAAACCGTTTCAAGATATCTCGGTTGCTCATATTCACGACAGATGTCACCGTCAGTTTCGTGCCGGCGCTACGTTCGGCGCGCCAATAAAACGCGAGACCAATGTGGGTTCTCTTCAACTTCGAACAAAAGCTGACCTGGACATTCCTGTAGGAAATCTATCAGCGCCCAGTGAATGCCCGATGGAATCTCCGGGATGTATCGGAGCTGCGAACACAGAAGAAGATAATATAATATACCAAAAGGTAACAATAAAGTTAATAACAATAAAATCGCGCGCTCTACGAAATTTATACGAGCGCGCGAGCGCGGTCAATTTTAACGCGCGGCGTTAAACAGCCGCTGATTAATGGGCCAAATTACCGCGGCAATGACTATTACCTGGGGGGGGGGTCCATGTTATGCGCGAAACTTCCGCACGAAGTTTTGAACGCAGTCGAGGGTTCGCAGTTAAGCTACTTAATCGTGCTTGACTGTGAATCGCGGCTCGTAACGTCGCTGTCGATATTTCGCGCAAAGTTTATATGCGCGCGTGTTAATGTTCTTTCTCTTCCCGCACGCTTTGGCGAATAAAATAGCAAGACAAAAAGAAACACGTAATTTAAAAAAAAAAAAACTTTTTCTCGTCTCCTACAGCGCACGAGTGCATTGAATACCTTTCCATCTGAAAAGAACGCGACAACAACTCCAAAGCGTGTAACGTTAAAATTGTGTTCAAGCTCCGCATTTCTTTCCCGAGGCATAATGTTATTTTTTCTCTCTCTTTCCCAAAACCTCGATTCCGGCTGTTTACACTTTATCCGTTTTCGCATGCGAATAAAATTCGTCTCTCAGGCGCCGGTATATACGTCCCATAAAAAAGCGAACGTGTATTACAACGTTCGCTATATACACACACACAGTCAGCGGACTTTTCGCGAGTTGAATTTATGCGCCGCGCCATTATTATGTCGACTGGATGCGATACGTAACTCGTGTATATCGTATTTCAATAACCGAGTATTGCCGCGATGTATCATCCGGCGATCGAGGAAAGTTGCATGTCTCGTGTATTTCTCTCTGACGTTCACACACACGCGCGCGCGCGCGCGCGCGTAAACGCCACAACCCACTCGAGAGGAGTACCTCGCGGAATTAATAGATAGTATCTCGTTTTCATCATTCACTCGTTGATCGGTACAGGTCCAACCGATCGTAATTTTCTCAAGCGAAAATTATAAACCGTCACGATTATTAAACGCAAGTGTGTATTGCAAGTAAAAAAGTCAAATTCGAGCGCGTGTAAAAACGTCTGAGCGCGTGCCTCAGACGTATAGTACATTCATCTCTCCCCGTGTCGCGATTAATACGATACATTAAGAGTTGTTCCCGTCGTTGTTTTGCGCGTATACACGCGCAGTTATATCTGCACGCGCATACTCTCAGTAGTGTGAAATTCTGTCTTTCTCTCTCTCTCTCTCTTTCTCTCTATCTTTTGTTTCCTCTTTATAGTTCTGTCCGTCAGTGCATCGTCGCTTTGTGCGCACTAACTTGGTCGTAAATTGAACAGCCGGCATACGGATAACATAGTTGTTGATTTCTCGTGGGAACGTAATACACACCACGCCGCGCGAAATATAGTCGAGACGCGCGCGCCGCCGTCTCTTCTTCTCGATGCATTCAATTGCATTCGTTCGCATTTGAGTGAAATATATTTTAAACGCGCGTGTGTGCGCGGCGCGATGACGCACACACGTGTGAACTAACTTTTACGATTATTTTGACAATCCGGAGAATACCGTCTCCGGCACACCTCTGTTTCCCGGTGACGAACTCCCGGGAGAGAGGGACGTGTTCCCTCCGCGACCCGGGGAAAGAAGTTTGAATTTTCCAGCGTCGAGTTTGACTTGCAGAGTGCTAATATTAAAGTTCGTCTCCTGCGCGGCGAGAGAATCCGAGATCCCTCTCGGCGGGGAAACACAACGCGGAGCAGAGAGTCGTCGTCTTCGTCTTCGTCGTCGTCGTTGTCGTCTCTGTCGCGACTCGTGCATTAGCGAGGAGACGATCCGACACTCGGGATTAGATTAGAATTTGTTAGGAGCGTCTCTCTCTCTTTGGTGGTAACTTTGTCCGGGGAACAGTTTTGTTTCATCGCCTCGAGGCGTGAGAGCTTTTCGAAAACTTTGTTACGGGAAGTTTTACCCGGAGCCCTGCTCACCGAGAGACGACGAGGTGGGAGAGCGTTTTTGGAGGCGTCGAAACAAACTGAAAAGGCCACGAGGCCATCCCGGAGTGTCTATGGTTGCCACGTTGTTATCTCCGAAGTTGTTGTAATATTGTTCTCCTCGAAATAAACGTTCGAGCAAAGAAAACCGCAACATGATGCAAAGTAACAACGGCACAATAATATTTGTTTATTATTTGATGACAATCTCTCACTCTCTGTCGCTCTCTTTTGTAAGAATTTCTAATATAATTTACCTAACACACCCCAAAGCGTATTATGACGCTTCTGGCGCGTCGTAGAGACCTCAAGCTTCATAACCGTTTTCGTAGTCAAGCGGGTTTGCGTTTTATGGTAATGTCGTCTTTACGTCGGGAACACACACACACACACACACACACTGTGTGTGTGTCTCCGAAGCGTTATTATAATGCGTGTACTCGAAAATTTTCACGACGATGGGTAAAGACGTCGATGCGTATTCGCCTCGTGCATTACAAATAGTGTTTATGGGGTTGTTCCGTGAGCAAGTTACAACGCGGCAGCGCGCGCAAGAGAACCACCTTCGAGAATCACCTCTTTTTGTCGGTGACGCGCGAAATATTATACTCTCTGGATTTTGCAGGCCGTGTGTTTAAAGCGTGTTTAATTACTCCCGTGAAATGTAAACTCGGATTATGGGCGAACTGCTTCGCGCGCGGCTTTAAAATTACAAAGATGATGTGATTATCTTCCCCTTCTCTATATAATGGTTATGGTTTGAGACTCGGTGCCGTAATAGCATAACGGTCGCTCGGGCGTAATTTTACATTCAGCAATTTTACATTACACTGTGTTTTAATCCAAACGAAATAACATCGTTTCGTTCTTTAACAAAAGAAAAAAATCACCATAAGAATTTTTTATTATCTTTCGCAATTTTCGTTTATTAATTATTGAGTCGAGCGCCACGGTGCAAAGATTTGGTTAAAAAAATTTACCTTGCCACTTCTTGGAAGAATCGACTCGCAACGTTCCTTCGCTCTGAATCTGATCCTTGCCGTTCGTGACGCGACAGGTGTAAAAACCAACGTCGGATACGTCTAAATTTGTAATTTTCAATCGACTGCCCGCCAAATTTTTCGCTGCATGCTCGTGTATCTAAAATGTCAGAACCGCAAGCATGTCAATTGTTACATAAATAAGTGAGTATATAATAATAATTTAGAAATGTGTAAAAATCGACAATTCTCCGTTTACTTGTGCGTGTATTTTCCTAATGGTGATTTTCGGTCGATTATCTTCCAACGGAGCTTCGTTCTTGAACCATCGTATCTTCGTCGGTGGAGGATCGCCCACGACTTCGCATCGCATATGGACCACACCGCCGGCGTCCTTCGAGATGTTCGTCAACGTTCTTACGAATTTTAAGGTGCCGCTCTTCGTGCCGGACGCAGCGTCTACGTCAGTCCTGTACAAAACATGATTTGTTGTTACATAAGACAAACTTGTTGTGGAAATAGTATCTAAATATTTGCGTAAAGACACAATTGTATGTTACGTATCTCAATGTTCGTAGGTCGGAAATATTGTAGGACGCGTTTAGATAACTCGATGCGAATCGATATCGCGTTCATAATCCCATCCGCGGTCTAGATAACAATGTAACTTTGTAACGAGGGATCATTAAGAGATATGAACTTAAATCGCTTGACTCTCTCCTCGAGTGCGAGCCTTGTTACGTCCGCAAAGAACTTCGGTTAATTAATCCGGATTACACGGCTGATCTCTATTGTAAGAGTAAATTTTAATGCGAATTTTACGTAACGCAAATGTGAAGATTCCTCGCAGAATTAACATCTGAGAAAAATGTTTTTTTTTTTTTTTTTCAATTCTTATACAGAATTATGGAAATATCTAATCGAATCCGTGAAAAGAGAATAAAACGCACGTTCTCCCGTTCGCGGTCGCGTGCAAAAAACGAGATATTAAAATATATGAACACGTTAATAACCGACCTCGCTTCTTTCGCGAAATGAAACGCGTATCGCGACGCGGGGTTCTTTCTCTTATCGCGGCGGAATTGATATACAAGCGTCGCGAGACGCATTTAGCGGCGGTCGCACGTTTTCCAGAACGCGCGCGCACCGCTCCCACCGCACTTTTTACATGTATATTATTCGCACAAATATATAGCCTGGGGTGTGCGCGTCTGTTTCTCCGCTCGCTTCTACTAAATTCTTGAAGTCACGGGAATAATTCAAAAGAAATGCGCGTGGTGGGACAAAGAGCAAGGTTTAATTATTACACGTTGCCCGTTGCGTTTCACGTTGGCGACGGTCGACTGTGTAACGTGCGGCGATGTGACAAAGGGGATAGTATGCGGGTGCCAGGAACACGGTTGTCTATTCTTCGTACGCATTATCGCGGAAACGCAATATCGCAGAATTTCCTCTATTGTCGTGCGTTATTGTACGTCTGATTTTATTACGCACAAATAACACGTTTCGCGAGATCCTTCGGCGCTCAATGTTCGCCCTTTGCGTTTTCTGCTTCAAAAACCAGCGTTTTTTCATTCGCAAAGCGAACGCGATAGCTCAAGGTATGCACAAGGAACACAAATGGATAGGAGAAGGCAGCGTGGTTAAAACGACCCTCTTCTATCTTTCCGTAGAGGGCCAATCACCGCGTTTACATTGCCGCCTATGTGCGTGCAAGCAACCGGCACGTGAAGTATATGGATGTGGCCCCGAGACCTTAGATGTACGCGAGAGAGAGAGAGAGAGAGAAACGTCTATGTGTACGTACCATCAAGCTACGTTTGCACGTGATAGAACGTGATTGCACGTACACGCGCACACGCACAGTGGGGGGCAGTAACTAACCCTGCGTTTACCGCTGGTTATTGAATATAAATCAACCTGTGATCAGTAAGTTATACATATATCGCGATATTGCCTGCCATAGGAAGTTTGCCCCGCTCGCAATGAAACAACAGCTCGCAAACATTTGCCGGGATAATATGGAAGTGGATAATTCGAACGTATAATAATCTCTGAGTACACGAACTGAGTACTACGGTGTATTTCGGATTCTCTCGAGCGAAAATTTTAAACGTCTCTAAAAAAAAAAAAAAAAAAAAGAAAAAAAAACTACGCTCGTTTAAAAGCGCGGTGAAAAATTCGATTTTTGAGAGATGAGCCTCCGACCGAAAAAATTGCAGCGTTTTACTGCGGTTGGCGTTCAAATGCGCTAGTAGTGTAACTGGCATATAAAAATCAACGTCACGACGTGTGTCAACCGCGACTCGCGCGTTTCGACGCCGAGTAGCGTATAAAATTAGCGGCGAGTATAGGTGAGGGCGCGGGCTGAAAATACACCGTCCGTGCACCTCCGCACATCAGTTGACTGCACATTATTCGCTCGGTGCTATGTAAAATAATTCTATGCATTTCGAAGCAAACAACGTCGTCGTCGTCGTCGTCGTCGTCGTCGTCGTCGTCATCGTCGTCGCGCGGTTTTTTTTTATCAGCCGATTAAAGCACAAACTGCGCTGTTGTTTAAATTTTTAACCCGGCGATACGCGGTAAACCGCGTGTATTTACAAAAAAAAAAGACGCGATACTGTCGGGAAGAGAGAGACCTATATAGTTGTTGAAAATAGAAGGGAATACGTGCTACCCTGCGGCGGAGGGTGGCGCTCTGGCAAAGATCGACACACAAGAGAACACCCACGACGCGTACTCCGCCGTGTATATAATGGCGTATGCGACTCTGGTATAATTACGCAACCCGGTCTCTCTCTCTCTCTCTCTCTCTCTCTTGTAACGCACGCTTGTGTTACGATATTTGTTCCAGAATATAATTACAAGAATATGTTGCGCATTCAAGTTGAAGAGTAAATATGCGGGGTCGTCATTAAGTCGATGTTTCGCCGCAATGGGAAAAATGTCGCGTTCATCAAATTGAACGTGAAACGACTCTCTCCGCCAAGTTTCAAAGCTAATAAAAGGGAAAAGAATTAAATACACGCTGAGAAAAAAGTCATCCGGTTAAAACGATATCACATTTTACTAAAAAAAAGAAAAAAAAAGAAAAATCCTTTTTTTTTTTTTAAACGTAGTTTGTTCTGCACGTCGCGTAGAAGTGAGAGAGCGGAACACAGAAAAAATTAAGACATAATCTGTGAACTTTTTTCGCGGAAAAGACGAAAAAAGGATTCTCAAAAAAAAAAAAAAAAAAGAGTCGGAGGTAGAAACGTTAACACTTCGTCGCAACCTTAACAAGCATTACATCGCTTCCTTCGTTGGCCATTTCAAGTAGACAGAAGACCTTCTCAGACGAGGATTACGAGGTCGCAGGGTTTCTATAAATAATGCAACGTTTAACCTTCCCTTCTTCCTTTCTCTCCCCTCCCTCTGACCGCTCAACGACGAGCTAGTCTCACACCCCAATGTCGGAGACAACGTTTTAAGTGGTGGAGCTTGTTCCCCGTTTGTCGGCTTAGGAAGGTAAAGTTAGGAGGCAATACACAAATTGCAGAGTAAAAAGTTGTAATAATCTAAAAGAATATGTCTCCCGGCGAGTATTAAAAGCTTTTAAAGTTTCGGATCGTCGTATTACATCGTTATCCACGTTATTCCAAAAAGATGCGAACATACACACACGTAATTCTGAGGAAGTTACATTTAAAAAACAATACTGAAACTCCTAATTTTATATAATATATTCATAACGTTGTATCATAATAAACAATACAAGTCGATTTATATCGAAGTTTTTTAAGCGAAGAATAATCGTGCCATTAGGGTTGTATCTCCGAAATCGAAGTCTATTCTTGCTCAATGTTCCGTAGAAGAGGCGCGGGGTTATTTCCTCTCCCCTCTCTCTCTCTCTCTCTCTTTCTCTCTCTATTTCTCGTAGAAGCCCGCAGCCAACCGGACATCAATATTAATGGAGCTATGCCGCATTTAGGGTGGAATAATGTATAGCGATCGCATTGGAGAAGTGCATAACGAGATTGTGTGTAACACACACACACACACACGCAGACACACGCGCGCACAAAGGCGTGCGCTTGCAGCGCGAGCGCAATGTGTGTGGATCGCGCGTGATGATGTCGGTATTATGATCATAATGTGTCATCACCGATCGACTGGGACGCGTAATTTCAATCGCGACGAATCCATTATCGTGTGTCGTTACGTCGCGATGTGCCAATGTAGACTAATGTCTCGAATATTTCGTGCGGGCGGAAGTGTGCGGCGTTTAAAGTCGGAGATTTTTGTCATAGAGTGAATTTGCGGACATCTCTTCCCGCGCAACTCGAGGACAACTCTCGATGCCGAGAAACATTTTGCGACACGAAAAGTTTTATATACGTATTTCCGATTCGCTCTAAACTCAATCTGCGAGAAAGTCTTCGGTCGGAAGCGGACTATCACACACACACGTGTTCGCGCAACACGTTTTCCTCTACGGAAAACGCAGATATGAAATTTGAACTGCAGAGTTTCCGATTGGCTCTATCGAGACGCGCGCGTCCTTCGCAAATTAGCTTAGTTGCGAGCGCGGCAAGACGCGCGGGAGGGAAAGGGCCAGAGAATTCAAATTTAATCAGCCTTTGGAGTTCCACGGGGCTTGGCTGCATGGGAAGTGGCATTATTAACTTTCGAATCGAACCAATCAAGTCGCTTCCTTATTAAGCCCCGCGGGTTCCTTCTCCCTTTGTCTCGGTTTCTCCCCATCGCACGGTAGAAGCAAATCTGAGAAATATATTTTTTTTCTTTCATCTCAAATTATTCCTATAGATTTCTTATATAGATTGCGATCACTGTTCTTTCTTTCATCCGACTGTTGTTGTCGTCACATTTGACTCTCGATCGAATCCGGAGTGTGTGAGAACCATCGTTTGTTGAAATGTTAAACAAATTTCGATCTTCTCGCTTTGTAATCAATATTGCAACGTGTATTTGCGATTAGAAAAAATGTTCTTACGCATTCAATCTCGTCACAGAAGAGAAGTTGCAATTTTGCAACGCTCACCCGTTAGTAGTCGCGTCGAAAACGTCGTTGTAGTCCTCGTCCGTGTTGTAATCCTGCACGTCGGTTTCCGAATCCTCGACGTCACCATTGCTACCTGTAACAAAATAAAAAGTGATTTTCTAAAATACAGTTGATTTTTACAATCCCATGTGCTATCGATTTGATTGTACGCGCGGTCTATCGCGCGCTACGTACAACGAGGATAAAATAGGAGATTTTTTTGCAAATGCCGCCCTTTTTCTGTTCACCACCGACCCGTGCTACTTTATTGTCGATAGATCGCGACGACAGTATTTCAATCGGATACATAGAAGGTTTGCAAATATTGATACGGGGAAAAATACGAATTTCATTCGCCGTATTTGTCTGCGTTGCGCGATACCGCAGTTCCGAACGGCAAACTGACGTTTAACTTGAAATTTCGTCGATGCGCCGCGAGGTGGGCGCGGACGATAAAAAAAAAAAAAAAAGAAAAATTCACACAGAATAAATACGGAATAATCTCTGGTCTGGTGTAAAATGAAAGCGGTACATATATAACAAATACTGACGGGGTTGCGCAGTCCCGTATTTCTCTATTATGATATCGGGATTGTAATATTGATTGACAGCGCACGCGCACATACATAGTTGCATGACAGCGTTTTCAATGTATTGTGCGGTATACGAGAATGTTGTACATGAGAGCGCGATGTGTGTTGCCCAATATATCAGTACAGATTTTACGACCGTGCAACCAGTGACAAAGCATTTCATAAATAAAGCAGTTAAGGGATATGAGAGTAGATTTACGTGTTTTTTGTTTTGTTTTGTATTCGAAGAGTTTCAATGCGAAACCTTTGATTACGGCAATTATTTCAATTTGGTTAAAAAAAAATGAAGTAACAAACGAATTAAATTTTTATCTATTGTACAAATATGAAAAAGAGATTCAACAATGATGATCCGCTATAGTTTTTTGCAAGCACCGGCGCGCGCATTTACAACGTACTAAAACTTTGTTAAAACATACAGGATACATTTAAAGCTTGTGACCTGAACTTTTGCTGAACGCGCGCGAGTTAAATTTCCACAAAAGGTACTAAGTACGAAATCGTGTTTGTTAATTCACCGATCGCAGTTTTCGGCGGTCGTCGGTCGATCTTCTCGCCGCCGCTGCCGGGCAACTTCCGTCGTTGTACTTGACGATTAGACACTCAAGAGAAACGTCGTGTCCACCGGGGGGAGAAACCGGGGGTTTAATGCCGGAGAAGATAGCCGCAACAGTGAATTGACCCGAAGTTTACCGGGTTGTCCGCCACAACCACTTTAAGCTGCATTCTCCCTCCTCTCTTTCTCTCTCTCTCTCTCTCTCTCTCTCTCTCTCTCACTATCTGTGTCTCTGTCTCTTTGTATTCGACAGATTCTCATGTAGAGAATCCTTCAAGCCCGTTTTGCCGCAAGCTCTGCCGCGAACAGTTTCCTAAAGCGATTCTTGACCAACTTTGGCCATTCCGTTTCATGCGCGCGAGTCGAGTTAAATTCAGTTTGGTTACCGCTTTCAACTTTTTGACCGCGCAGATAGACGAGTTTCTGCGTATTCAATCGTCGAATTCTCGAACGTGATAAACATCCGTTCGTAAATTGCAGCACAGCTAGTCTGCCGCAATAGAATTAAAAACTGTATGTAACAATTTATCTTTTGTTTGCTTTAAAAATCAAACATTAATTTAATTAAGGATAACAAAAAATATAAAACCCGAAATAGATTTGCTCCTTTTCAATCGAAAAATTTGTACACATTGAAGACATTTAAATACGTTGTCGTTGAACAGATTTTTTTTTCTTTTTTTTTTTTTTTCCTGAATAGAGTGCGGCTCGTGTAATATCGCGCACCCAGGATGTGAATCTGTATCATCATTTCGCGTAACGCGACGCGATCGTATAATCTGCGATCGCGGAATAGCTCGAGCACTCGTAAACCTCGTACGTGCCCGCTCGTTGTTCACATGGAGAGTACAAAAGAAATCCCGGAAGAGGGAAAGAGAAAGAGAGCGATAAATCAGTACCGCGCGAGGACTCGGTCGTTGGCCACGAGCGGCTTTAAAACGCTTGGCGCATCGTTTTTTTTTTTTTTTTTTTTTTTTTTGTCCGAGACTCACCGTTTTGCGGCGATTCGCGACGAACCGCGTGCAGATTCGCATTAAAGTTTTATTTCGCGTTAACGCTGCCCAAATAATTTCACGCTGCGCGCGTGCGGGTCTTATTACGTAACTGGCTGAGCGCGTGCGCCTCCTTTTCGTCGGAAAATTTAATTTCGTCACGACTGCACCGCAAACAAAAGAGAGAACGAACAAAACGCGTCACGATAATCGGAGATTCTCGAATCGGATTATCTCGCCACGAAGTTTTCTATCTCGCTTCTCTTAACAAAAACCAAAACAAACAATGAAAAATACGCGTGAGTGTTTTATTTATACGTTCTTTATTTTATATAGATTTACATAATTTGTACAAATATGTATTTTCAATATAGAAATATTCTATTTTTAATAAAAAGTATCGCACAAATTGTGCGAATATCATACATTTATGTTTTACCGCAGGTAAAACGTAATCACCTCCCCGTGTGGACGGTATCGCAAATAGTTCGTACCTACGCCAGTGTCCGCGAAATGCTTCCGGGTTCTAAAGCACTCACTATGCGAGAACTCGTAAATACCGCGGAGCGAAAGGCCGGCTGAATCGCGCCAACATCCTCCCCTTTGCCATTATAATACTCCGTAATAATCGAAAATGGCATTCTCGTTGTGACCTTTGCGGCGGCGCAGTTTGCTGTAGTAGAACAAAAAACGTCTTAGCGCGGCTCAGATTAATTAAGTGACTGGTGGTGGATCATTAACTCGTTAAACTTACGCAGCATTTTCTCTCTTTGCAGACATCTCTGACGCGGTTTCTCATCTCCAAAAAATAATTGTTATCTAACAAATCGCTCCCGTATAAAAAAAAAAAAAAACCAGAAGCTCCTTCTTCTTTCCGCGATGTGGAACTTCCAGTGTAAATCGGAAATTTGCACAATATGCGAGGAAATAGCGAGATTTGCGACTTATCATTCAAGCGTATCATCGAACGACGTATTCTTTAAGCGACTCGACAAAAGGCAAATTGCAAAGCTTATTCATGAGATTATTCCACTGTCCAGCGGTATAATAGATGAAAGACTTATTGTAATATTCAACAGCTCCGCGCGCTCGAATATAAGATCAGAGAAGTAGCAGTGTGGAGAGAAAGAGAGAGCGAGAGAGAAGGAGAAGGGGATGCGAGGGGGAGAATGAAGAAGAGGAAAGATGCATCGCGGTACGAGTAACGTATGACGCAGAGAAATGACGTTTCTAAAGAAGGCGAGAGAGAGGAGCGTCTGACAAGCCTCAGAATGCTCTCGCTTGGGACGCCCTTCTGGATTTATGCGCGCGTCAAAATCACCGTGCGGTGGATGGATGCGTCGTCTTGGTATGCGGTCTCTTGTTCGTTGCGTGCAGGCTGCTCCGCTCGAACGAGTGTGAGATTAAGAGAGAGGGAAAGAGAACGGTGTTGTCGAGATTGACGGATATAATTCTTGCGGTGCGATTTCGCTATGATATCGAAAAAGAAAAAGAAAATTTGACAAAAATTTCACCTATGTGTATATTCCGCTTTTTATGTGTCAATCGTGTTAGTTTACAATTACCTCGACAAGCCTGATTACGTCAATTGAAATGTAATATCAGCGTGTGTGGAAATCGAAAGGTATATATTGATGAAACGTGACCGCATTAATTTTCCTATTGCCGCTAAGAGCGTACGTATCCGCACACGATTGCGTTGGGAAAATTGCAAATTGCATTGCCGCAGAGCGTGGCAGGTCGAATTACTGGCAATATAATTTAACGCATATCTCAATCAATCGAATTAATCCAACTGCCAATAGCGTTCTGCCAATATTGCCACACGACCGCGCGCACGTTAACGGGAATCATAATTTTGCTTGGCTCACACCGCGGGGACTGCGGGCGAATACTATATATGAGAAAAGAGAAGAGCAAAAAAGAGAGAGAGAGAGAGAGAGAGACCGAACCAGCGAGATGTTTTTCGCAATCAAATTGAGATAAATTACAGACAAAAGCCGTACGTTTGTACTTCGCTTTTTCTCCCACACCTGTGTCTCTTTACATTTTTCACTGTGTGTGTCTTGTTATTTTTTTTCTTTTCACATATAATATATGTACGTAATGTCGTACACTTTCAGAGAACGAACAAGATGTTTTTTTAAACTAGTGATAATGAGAAATAATTGTATCAAGTTTCACGTGTTCAATCAACGTGCGTAATCCTGTGAGCAGAAAAAACGGAATTTTCTTCAAAAAGCTGTCACTTCTTCGTAATAATCTTGTTATCTGGCTTAAAAGATTCAAGAAACGAAACACCTTTCTCTCGAGCGATATTTGACACTTTTTTCCCCCATGTCACCTAAGCTCGGAATGTCATTCCGAGATGTTCGAGTCAAAGTGCGCGAGAGACTCGTCGCGTCTGAGAAAAATTTACGGTTAACTAATCTTCTTCCCGTACTCCGACGAGACTTGTTAGGGAAGATATTCCCGCGATAAAAAAATCTCTCGAGGTGCCGGTCGCAATAAAAATTCGGAGGCGCCGGTGAATCGCGCGCGTATATACACACACATGTGCGTGTGTGCGCTCGGCGTATCTTTTCGCGTGACGACGGAGATCTCGCGTGCCGCGTGTCACTTACACGCCCCGCACGGTGTATATTTCCGTGTGCGAATGTGTTGTTTCACGTGTCCGCATGCGTATTTATGCGTGCACTAAACTGTGGCGCAAGAAACGCAAGGAAGAAAGGTGGAAGGGAAACATCGGAGTCTTCTTATCTCTCCGCGTGCATATTGGCGCATTACTCAGACCGGCAGGTACCCTCGGGTGTCCCAACTGTCGCACGTCGTAACTTCGTGCGTACTCACTTGGCGCTTTCGCAGCCGCTATACATATCAGCGGGAATTGTCGCACGCAAGTGAAAAGTCGGATTTACGCGGACACGTAATATGAGCAAGAGGGAGAAACGAT